ATGCCGGCATGCGTGAGCGTGTCTGTCCTGCCATCCTGAATGTGTGTGTGATGTGTGTGTATGCGTGCATGCCAGAGCACATGTCCTGCCACCCACTGTGTGTGTGCGTGTGTGCGTGCGCGCGTGCCTGAGGATGTGTGTCTGCCCTGCCACCCCAAATGTGTGTGTGCGTGCAGGCATGACGGATCTGTCCTGACACCCCGTGTGTGTTTGTGTGTGTGTGTATGCATGTGTTTGTCCTACCAGCCCCCGGTGTGTATGTGTGTGTATACATGTGTGCATGTGTGTACAAGTGTGTGTGATTGTGTGTGTGCGCGTGTGTGCCTGAGCATGTGTGTCTGCCCTGCCACCCCAAATGTGTGTGTGCGTGCAGGCATGAGCGGATCTGTCCTGACATCCCGTCTGTGTTTGTGTGTGTGTGTATGCATGTGTTTGTCCTACCAGCCCCCGGTGTGTATGTGTGTGTATACATGTGTGCATGTGTGTACAAGTGTGTGTGATGTGTGTGTGTGCGCGCGCGTGCCTGAGCATGTGTGTCTGCCCTGCCACCCCAAATGTGTGTGTGCATGCAGGCATGAGCGTATCTGTCCTGACACCCCATGTGTGTTTGTATGTGTGTGTGTATGCATGTGTTTATCCCCAGCCTCCGGTGTGTATGTGTGTGTATATGTGTGTATGTGTGTATATGCGTGTGTGTACAAGTGTATGTGTGATGTGATGTATGTGTGATGTGTGTGGTGTCATGTGATGTGTGTGTCATGTGATGTGATATGTGTGATTGTGTGTGTGATGTGTGATGTGATGTGTGTGTGTGATATGATATATGTATGTATGCATGTGTTTGTCCCACCAGCCCCCGGTGTGTATGTGTGTGTACGTGTGTATATGCGTGTGTGTACAAGTGTATGATGTGATATGTGTGTGTGATGTGATGTGTGTGTGGTGTCGTGTGTCATGTGATGTGTGTGTCATGTGATGTGTGATGTGATATGTGTGATTGTGTGATGTCATGTGATTGATGTGTGTGTGTGTGATATGATATATGTATGTATGCGTTTGTCCTACCAGCCCCCGGTGTGTATGTGTGTGTGTATTCATGTGTTTGTCCTACCACCCCCCCGGTGTGTATGCATGCGTATACATCTGTGCATGTGTGTACGAGAGTATGATGTGGTGTGTGTGTGATGTGATGTGTGTGTATTCATGTGTTTGTCCTACCAACCCCCGGTGTGTATGCATGCGTATACATCTGTGCGTGTGTGTACGAGTGTGTGATGTGGTGTGTGTGTGATGTGTGTGTGTATTCATGTGTTTGTCCTACCACCCCCCCGGTGTGTATGCATGTGTATACATCTGTGCGTGTGTGTACGAGTGTGTGATGTGGTGTGTGTGTGATGTGTGTGTGTATTCATGTGTTTGTCCTACCACCCCCCCGGTGTGTATGCATGCGTATACATCTGTGCATGTGTGTACAAGTGTGTGATGTGTGTGTGATGTGTGTGTGTATTCATGTGTTTGTCCTACCACCCCCCCGGTGTGTATGCATGCGTATACATCTGTGCATGTGTGTACAAGTGTGTGATGTGTGTGTGATGTGTGTGTGTATTCATGTGTTTGTCCTACCACCCCCCCGGTGTGTATGCATGCGTATACATCTGTGCGTGTGTGTACAAGAGTGTGTGATGTGGTGTGTGTGTGATGTGATGTGTGTGTATGCATGTGTTTGTCCTACCACCCCTCTGGTGTGTATGCATGCGTATACATCTGTGCATGTGTGTACGAGAGTGTGATGTGTGTGTGATGTGATTGTATGCATGTGTTTGTCCTACCAGCCCCTGGTGTGTATGGGTGTATACGTGTGTGCGTGTCTATATGTGTGTGTGTACAAGTGTGTGTGTGTGTGTGTGCATGCACCAGTGTGTGTCCTGCCACCCGCAGTGTGGGAACCTGCCCTTCCGGCGGATCTGCAAGCGCTTTGGGGCAGATGTGACATGCGGAGAGATGGCCGTTTGCACCAACTTGCTGCAGGGCCAGATGTCCGAGTGGGCTTTGCTCAAACGCCACCAGTGTGAGGACGTCTTTGGCATCCAGGTCGGTGCCCGCCCTGGGGGAGGGAGAGCAGAGGGGCCCTCGGCTGCCTTCTCAGGGCCCAGTTCCAGGCCTGTCCTGGTTGCCTCCCCGACCCCCTGGCCGCAGCTGTGGGATGGGGGTGACGGCCACGGCCGTGATGCGTGACGCCTCACAGACAGACCTTGGTTCGTTCGGGGAGGCCCTGAGGGAGGAGGCCGCTGGCTCAGCGCTTCCCAGTAAGCAGGGAATGGCCAAGTGGGGACAGTTTGGACTGTCCTCACCCCCACAATCCCTGCCCCCTGCAGCTAGAGGGCGCCTTCCCCGACACCATGACCAAGTGTGCCGAGCTGCTGAACCGCACCGTGGAGGTGGACTTCGTGGACATCAACGTCGGCTGCCCCATTGACCTTGTGTACAAGAAGGTAGCAGACCTGGACATGTGCCTCGGTCTCCCCATCTGGGCAGGAGGGCACTGAGCCAGCCGGCCATGTCGTGGGTGGTGGTGGGTCAGGGGTTTGGGCTCAGGTGTGGCCTGTGGGTTGGCATCTCCTGGTGGGGGCCTCAGGGCAGCAGGGGTGAGGGGTCTGGGCCTAGGTCCTGCTCTCCCTCCACCGCGTGTCTCCTCCAGGGTGGGGGCTGTGCCCTCATGAATCGCTTGGCCAAGTTTCAGCAGATCGTTCGTGGCATGAACCAGGTATGTGCCACGTTGGCCCCCAAACAACTGCCCGGCCTCGCACCTCCCCCCATCATTTCCCAGCGTCTCCCACCACCTCCCACCGTCCTGTAGGTACTGGACGTGCCACTGACCGTGAAGATCCGCACAGGTGTCCAGGAGCGCGTGAACCTGGCGCACCGCCTGCTGCCCGAGCTGCGGGACTGGGGCGTGGCACTTGTCACGGTGGGTCTTGGGACACCCCGGGCATCGGGGCCTTGGGGTTGCCCTTAGTCCCTTCCTAACGGCTCCTCTCCTCCCGTCCCTCCCTCTTCACCTCCACACCTCCCTCTGTCTCTGCCTCTGTCTCTTTCTCTCTCTGTCCCTCTCAGCCTGGCTCTCTCGGTCTCTCTCTCTCTGCGTCTCACTCTCTGCCTCCTACCCTGCGTGGCGGCTTCTCCCCCAGCTCCACGGCCGCTCCCGGGAGCAGCGCTACACCAAGCTGGCCGACTGGGAGTACATCGCGCAGTGCGTGAAGGCCGCCAGCCCCATGCCCCTGTTCGGTGGGTACTCCGGGAAGCCACCTCCCTGTCCCTGCCACCCCAGGGCACTCACACCTCTGGGCTGCTCGCCTTCCCACCTGGGACCCCCTCCTACCACCCTGATGGGGGCCCCTGGGTCAGCCAAAACTCCCACAGGGCTGGTGAGGAGAGCCCTACAGTCCCACCTGCCCGTGGCTCCCTGAGACCCCAGCTTCCATCTCCTCAGGAAACGGGGACATCTTGTCATTTGAGGACGCCAACCACGCCATGCAGACTGGTGTCGCCGGGGTCATGATTGCCCGGTAAGTGCCTGGGGGGTTACCAAGATCCAGCTCCAGCTTCATGCACAGCAGCGGCGCCCCGAACCCGACGCGCCATCGCCCATGCCTGCTCTGTGGCGGGATGGTCCCGAGATGGGAGTGGGAGAGAGCGATGTCAGGAGTTGCGGCTGTTTTGGGGCGGAGGGGACTGGGAATTGCTGCTGCTGTGGGATCTGATCATTGTGGTTTGAAAGTCCTGGGCTTTGGGCGGGTTTGATGGCTCATGTCTGTAATCCCAGCACATTGGGAGGCTGAGCCAGGTGGATTACCCGAGATCAGGAGTTCAAGACCAGCCTTGCCAACATGGCGAAACCCTGTCTCTACTAAAAATACAAAAATTAGCCAGGGGTGGTGGTACAAGCCTGTAATCCCAACTACTTGGGAGGCTGAGGCAGGAGAGTCGCTTGAACCCAGGAGGCGGAGTTTGCGGTGAGCCAGGATTGCGCCACTGCACCTCAGCCTGGGCTACAAGAGCAGGACTCCATCTCAAAAACAAAAAATAGAAAAAGTCCTGGGCTTTGAAGGTTGTGTGCCACAGCTGGGAGGCATATTAGGCTTGCAGGTTTCGTGGTCTGGGCCACAGGATCCCAGGCAGGCTGGTGACTGCGACCACTGACTGTCACCCGCCCTGCAGGGGCGCCCTCCTCAAGCCGTGGCTGTTCACAGAGATCAAGGAGCAGCGGCACTGGGACATCTCGTCGTCCGAGCGCCTGGACATCCTGCGGGACTTCACCAACTACGGCCTGGAGCACTGGGGCTCGGACACGCAGGGCGTGGAGAAGACCCGGCGCTTCCTGCTCCAGTGGCTATCCTTCCTGTGCCGGTGGGCACCGGGGCTGGCCAGGGTGGGCACTGTGTGGGCCGTGGCTGGGGAGGGCTAGCTGGGTTGACTGGATCCTGCCACCCGCCCGCCCACAGGTACGTGCCCGTGGGGCTGCTGGAGCGGCTCCCACAGAGGATCAATGAACGGCCACCCTACTACCTGGGCCGAGACTACCTGGAGACGCTGATGGCCAGCCAGAAGGCAGATGACTGGATCCGCATCAGGTGCCCGGGGGCTGGAGTCGGGGCGCCTTGGGTCATGGGGGGCACTGCGCAGGCCTGGGGCCTGACTCTGCTTTCCCCCGCCCTCCCACAGCGAGATGCTCCTTGGGCCGGTGCCCCCCAACTTCACCTTCTTGCCGAAGCACAAGGCCAATGCCTACAAGTAGCATCAGGGGCTTCCCCGGGGTACCCTGAGGGAAGAAGAGGACAATAAATTTTATTCTTTTAAGATCGAGGCCTTTCTGTGACCCTGAAGCTGCCCATCCCCAGCCCCCACCTTCCCCAAACCTTTTGGCAGCCTCAGTGCTGCCCCCAGAGAGACCTTGACCCCCAAGAAGGTAGCAGGTGCAAAACCTGGGGGGCCTCAGCCTGCGTGGGTGTGGATCAGGGCAGCCTGCCTGGATGAGGCAGCCTCGAAGCTGTTAGAGGGGTGTTGCTGGAAGAGGCGGAAGGCCTGGCCCAGGGTCCTCCTGCCCCTGGTGATGACCGTCTCCGCCACCGTCTCCCCCCTGCCCACCCCCGACACCCAGAACCCCAACCAGTGAGCAGGCTGCAGGCTGGAATCCGCTGCCCGGAGCAACCAGGCAAACAGAACCCCGCCAGGTTCTCAGCCTGTGCTCTGGTTGGGCCACTTGTGCTCCCACTGCCCCCTGGACCAGGCCTCCCGCCACCCCATGCAGCACCCCAAATCCTTCTATGCTTCTGCAGTTCCCCAGGAAGGCTTCAGCCCCCAGAGTCTGGAGGGGGCTGAGGTGCTGGGCAGCCAGTCCGCTCCCACCTGCACCGAGCCTCCTCCCGCCATGGGTATAATGGGGTTGGTGTGGACGCCTGCTGGGGAGAGCTTGGGGGCCTACCCACCTCAGGGCCCCACCCACGCGGCCACCTTTGTCCACAGCCTCACTGAACCTCTATCACCCCCCAAACCCAGAGGAAGAGGTGTTTCCAGCCCCTCCAGCAGGTACCAGCCTCCCCCTGCGCCCTGACGAGGCTGGGAGTGGGTTTGGGTGTTGGGGCCCAGCTTGCCCTGCCCCACCCCTAGGTGGGGGCCCAATGACATGGCCTCTGCTCCCCATGCTTCACACAGGTCCCCCAGTGAGCCCCAAAGACAAACTGTCCCCATCACCCAGCCAGGGCCCCAACGTGGTATCTGTCTCCCATCCCCAAAGGGGCTCCCCAATGGCAAGGTTCTCGTGGCATCCCCCAGACAGGCCCCCAGGCTTGGGCTGGGCCCCTCAGGTGGCAGCTGCTCTCAGGGCACCCGCCTGCCACCCACAGGTTTCCAGATGGCCCCATGCGGGTGCTTTTTCGACCCCCGCATCTATCGGATCGAGTGGACCACTCCCGACCTGGGCCAGTCGGCCCTGTACAAGCCGGCAGCGAGTGGCAGGGGGCCAATGGGGTGCCCTTCCACCCCAGGCAGCTACCTCCCGGGGCGGCCCCCATACCCCCACTACCAGCCAGTACCCGGGGTGCCCCAGTTCCTCCTGCCCTACTTCCCACCTGAGGGCCCTGGGCCAGAGGCTCTGGGCTTTGCAGGGGACTCGGGGCCCACCGCCTTCATGGAGCTACCCCTGCTGCCACTCGAGGAAGGCATGGCCCCACCGCCAGCCCCACCCCCCAAGGAGAACAAGCTGCCCCCTGTACTCATCCCGCGGCCTGCAGAGTCCATGCTGCCCCTGGACACCTACAGCTGCCTCCAGGGCCACCCTGGCCACTTCCCTGGGCCTGAACCCCTGGACTTCCCCACCAAGGAGCCGCAAGGCAGTGGGGCCGGGCCCGGGGTGCTGCTGTACCCACCCAGCTCCAGTGAGCCCAAGGTGGCCAAGGCCAAGGAGGGGGCCCTGCTGGGGGCGGGCGAGGCCAAGGCACTCCCAGACAAGGTTCTGCTGGAGGACGCCATGAAGCTCTTTGACTGCCTGCCGGGCACCACCAAGCCCAACAGGACCCCGCGCAAGGTCCCCAGGCCGGCCCTGCCTGACGACGGTGGCAGGAACTCGGCCGACGACATCCGCTCGCTGTGTCTGCCTGAGGAGCTGCTGTCCTTCGACTACAGCGTGCCTGAGATCCTGGACACTGTGTCCAGTGTCGACCTCTTCAACTTCAAGGCGCTGGAGGAGGAGCAGCTGCCCCGCCAGGGGCCCCCTGTTGCCAATGCTGTGGCCCCCATTCTGTCCCGCAAGAGAAAGGCCTCAACAGCCAAGAAGGGAAAACCGGGAGGGAAGGCCAGCCAGCCCGCAGGCCCAGCCAGCGCCACTCCCCTGGGGCCCAGGCAGGACCTGGGAGCTGCCCCCCATTAAAGCGCATTTCACCTTTTAGGTCCACGTCCATGCAGTAGCCTTGGGGATGCGGAGGGGCCTGGAGGTGCACGCCTGGCCCCTCGCCCCGTCATCCCGAGGACTAGTGAGGCCTCCAGAGCCTAGCAGGGAGGCCCTGGAATTACAGGACACCCTAAACCCCTTGAGTCCCAGCCCTGGAAGATCATTCTCTGCTGGCGGAGGCAGGGCCCTCCTGAGCTGCCCCCCAGATTAACATGTTCTAAGGATTTTCACACCGTTGTTTGGTGGGGAAAAGCCAGACTGCCCCGAGAGGGCCAGGAACTTCCTTGGAGACAGCTGTCAAGGCAGTGCTGGAGAAGCAGCCTCCAGCTCCCCGCCCAGGTGCCTCCTGTCCCCAGGAAGCCACAGCCACTCCAGGGAGGGTGGGAAGGGCCAGGCTCTTGTTCAGACAGGTGGGTACAGGGGGCTTCACCGGATGGTCTGAGATCTGAGGGTGGGAGCAGATGCTGGCGTGTGGCAGGGGCGGGGATGGGGAAACTGCTCACGTGTGAAGGAGCGGGGTGCATGCAGCACCTGGGGAACCTGGAAACTTGCACCCAAGGTGGTGACATGAGACAGCACCCAGAACCCAGGAGAGGGCCAGTCACACTGCAGGGTCCACTGCAGGGAGAGTCACATTGCAGGGACAGCCCAGCCACTGGTTCCGTAATGAGACAGGCCCAGCCTTGGAAGAGGACCCCTGGGTGCTGGTTCCTTTCATCACCCACATCAGGGGCTCGAGGGCCCTCCTGGGGGCCACCTGTACCCTCCTCCCCTGAAATGCTCATGGTGGCCCTGGAGATGCCGACCCCATTCCCCTAGGGACACGTAAGGAAACAGGAGTCCCAGAGCCATCCAGCGCCTCCTGGAGTGAAGATACCCCTCTGGGCTGGGACCCTTCCGCCTGCGCCTTCCCCAGGCCAAGGGCTGGATCTCCTGGGTCTCTGGAGTCTGGGTTTCTAGGTCTCTGCTGGGGGAGCCCCTGGGGGGCTCACCTAGAGTTCAGGAGGCTGGTGGGTGTTTGGAGGCAGAGCAGAGACCATGGTTCCCCCTCTGTACTAGGGGAACAGTCTGGGAGAGGCTTGAAGCTCAAATTTCTGTTTTGTTTTGTTTTGTTTTTTGAGATACAGTCTTGCTCTGTTGCCCAGGCTGGAGTGCAGTGGTGTGATATCAGTTCACTGCAACCTCTGCCTCTTGAGTTCAAGCGATTCTCCTGCCTCAGCCTCCCGAATAGCTGGGATTACAGGCACCCACCACCACACCTGGCTAATTTTTTGTATTTTTAGTAGAGATGAGGGTTCACCATGTTGGTCAGACTGGTCTTGAACTCCTGACCTCAGGTGATCCACCCGCCTCGGCTCCCAAAGTGTTGGGATTACAGGCCACTGTACCAGGCTCCAAGTCCACTTTTCTCAGCTGCCTTCCAACTCCTTCTCCCCACAGACTCATTAAAGGTAGCTCTGAAACTAACACCAGGTGTCTCAGTGAAGGGGAGGCCCTGGCTGGTGAGGAGGTGGGGCAAGGGATGCTTAATGTGGAGTGAGGGTCACAAAGTGGATGTCTGCAAGGACCCAAGCAGCAACTTTCTTTTTTTTCTGAGACAGGGTCTTGCTCTGTCACCCAGGCTGGAGTACAGTGGCATGATCATGGCTTACTGCAGCCTCCATCTCCTGAGCTCAAGCGATCCTCCCACCTCAGCCTCCCAAGTAGCTGGGACTACAGGCATACTCCACCACACTCAGCTAATGTTTAAAAAAAAATTGGGTTCTTGCCATGTTGCCCAGGCTGATCTTGAACTCCTGGCCTCAAGCAATTCCCCTGCCCCAGCCTCTTGTAGCTGTGTTGGGTGATTTAAAATGACCACGGACTGTATATATATACATATATATATATACACACACACACACATATACACATATATATTTTTTAAACAAAGAGTAATCAGAAGTCGTGAGACTGACTACATTTTCACTTAAAATCAGACGGCTGACCCTGGTGCAGTGGCTCACCGGGAATCCCAGCACTTTGGGAGGCTGAGGCAGGAGGATTGCTTGAGCCGAGGAGTTTGAGATCAGCCTGGGCAATATGTCAAAACCCCGTCCCTACCAAAAAAAAAAAAAAAAGTACCCAGGCATGGTGGTGTGAAGCTGTAGTCCCAGCTACTCGGGAGGCTGAGGTGGGAGGATCACTTGAGCACAGGAGGCAGAGGTTGCAGTGAACCAAGATCACACACTTGCACTCCAGCCTGGACAATGGAGCAAGACTCTATCTCAAAAAAAAAAGGGTGGGGGAGTGGGCGGGCATGGTGGCTCATGCCTGTAATACCAGAACTTTGGGAGGCCAAGGCGAGTGAATCTCTTGAGGTCAGGAGTTCGAGACCAGCCTGGCCAACACGGTGAAAACTGGTCTCTACCAAAAATACAAAAATTAGCTGGGTGTGGTGGCAGGTACCTGTGATCCCAGCTACTCAGGAAGCTGAGGCAGGAGAGTTGCTCGAACCTAGAAGGTGGAGGTTGCAGTGAGCCAAGATTGTGTCATTGCACTTCAGCATGGGTGATAGACGGAAACTCTCTCTCAAAAAAAAAAGGCTAACCCTGGTGCAGTGGCCCATCCGTAATCCTAGCACTTTGAGAGGCCGAGGCGGGAGGATTGCTTGAGTCCAGGAGTCCGAGACCAGCTTGGGCAACAAAGTGAGACCCTGTCTCTACAGAAACTAAAAGTTAGCCAGATGTGGTGGTGGTTCCTGTAATCCCAAGCTACTCTGGAGGCTGGCTAAGGAGGGAGGATTGCTTAAGCCTGGGAGTTTGAGGCTGCAGTGAACTGTGATTGTACCACCGCACTCCCAGCCTGGGCAACACAGCGAGATCCCCGACACCGAAAAACCAAATAAAAAAAAAATGGTGAGCACACACTGCTTCCTGCTGGGTTACACTAAACTTTATTTATAAGACGAGGGGTCGGGACCCTGTGGACCAGCCTCAGTGCTCAGCCCTGCCTCCCTGAGGAGTGGGGTGATGTCCTGGGGGCTCTGTGCCCACCCCGGCTGTGGCTGAGGCACTGCACTGAAAACACCCGCAGGCCGTCTTGCATCTCCCACACAGCTGGACCACAAACCTCCTGATCCTGTGGCCTCGTCTTGTGCGCAGCAGCTTGGGGGTCAGGTAGGCCACCCACACGGACCCCAGGATGCTGGAGATGAACAGCAGGATGATGATCCCGGCAAACCCCAGCGGCATCGGGAACGCCCCGTACACGTAGATGCTGAAGAGTGTTTCCAGTTTACAGTAGCTGCGGAGGGAGGTGGGGAGAGGCCGCTGGGTGCTGCCTTTGGGTGACTTCACCTGCAGCTGTGACCGGGTATACCCACTTTGTTCTTCTGTTTCCACCCACTTCGACTGTTTTTTTTTTTGAGACAGTTTCGCTCTTGTTACCCAGGCTGGGGTGCAATGGCGCGATCTCGGCTCACCGCAACCTCTGCCTCCTGGGTTCAGGCAATTCTCCGGCCTCAGCCTCCTGAGTAGCTGGGATTACAGGCACGCGCCACCATGCCCAGCTAATTTTTTGTATTTTTAGTAGAGACGGGGTTTCACCATGTTGACCAGGATGGTCTCGAACTCCTGACCTCAAGTGATCCACCCGCCTCGGCCTCCCAAAGTGCTGGGATTACAGGCTTGAGTCACCGTGCCCAGCCCTTTTTTTTTGAGTCAGAGTCTTGATCTTGGCTCACTGTATCCTCCGCCTCCTGAGTTCAAGCAGTCCTGCCTCAGCCTCCTGAGGAGCTGGGATCACAGGCATGAGCCACCAGGCTCGGCTAATTTTTGTATTTTTAGTAGAGATGGGGCTTCACCATGTTGGCCAGGCTGGTCTCGAACTCCTGACCTCAAGTGATCCACCCACCTCCGCCTCCCAAAATGCTGGGATTATAGTCATGAACAACGGCACCTGGTCCACTTTGACTTTTATGGTTTTTTTTTTTGAGATGGTGGAATCTGGCTCTCACCCACACTGGAGCATAGTGGTGCATTCTCGACCCACTGCAATCTCCATCTCCCAGGTTCAAGTGATTCTCTTGCCTCAGCCTCCCGAGTAGCTGGGATTACAGGTGCCCGCCATCACACCTGGCTAACTTTTAGTAGAGACGGTTTCTCCACGTTGGCCAGGCTGGTGTTGAACTCCTGGCCTCAAGTGATCCGCCTGTCCCGGCCTCCCAACGTGCTGGGATTACAGGCATGAGCCACCGCACCCAGCTGACTGTTACGGGTTCTGAGCTGCCGTCCTTTCTGTGCCCTTTGGCAGCTGTGACCAGGATCCCCGTTCTCCCCCAGTGCCCAGACTGTGACTAGAGAGGGCAGAGGGAGCAAAATAACTAAGTGCTCTGTCAACAGAGGGGAAGTGGCGGACGGTGGAGGCTGCGTCAGGGCAGGAGAAGGCTCAGGGGTGTCGCAGAACCCACGGCAGTGGGGGGGACAGTGCAGGTCTCGTGGTACAGGGAGCAGGTGTGGCAAGGGAGAGTCCCACACCTGTCTTCTCTCTCCTATGGACGTCCCGGGCCTACCCAGGGCCTTCCACCTGCAGCCACTCAGAGCTGATCCTCCTAGTCTGAGGCCTGTAGGGAAGGCAGGGTCTCCACTGGTTTTTCTCAGGGGCTGGACTCTGACCCTCCAGAGAGAACAGGCGATGGCTGACAGTGACTTCCAGCGGCGGTAAGGACATGGGGAAGATGCCACCCTGGTGCCCACCTCCCCAAGGGACCTGTGGATCGGCATGGCACGGCTTAGACCTGGCTTTATAACTGCCTCAGCGCCTGTCAGTGCTAAATATTTAACAACTGGCTCTCAGGGGGGCAAGGCCCCCTGGGTAGTGTCTGCTAATTCTTGCGGCGTAAATATTTCCACCGTGGCTGATTTCAAGCCACTGACATGAAATTGACTGGTGTAAGATTCCTGTTTTTTTCTAAGATGGAGCCCCGCTCTGTTGCCCAGGCTGGAGTGCAGTGGGGCAATCTCGGCTCACCGCAACCTCCGCCTCCCGGGTTCAGGCGACTCTCCTGCTTCGGCCTCCCTAGTAGCTGGGATTACAGGCACCCACAACCATGTCCAGCTAATTTTTGTATTTTTAGTAGAGATGGAGTTTCACCATGTTGGAAATTCCTGAATATTTCAGAGTCTACTCCTACAAGCCAGTCTGAGCCAGCTCTGGCCGTCTATCAGCAGACCCCAGACACAGGGAGTAAGAGAGGGTGACTTGGGTGCACCAGGGCAGGGGTGCAGCCTCAGGTCACTGCTGTTCCCCCAGCACCCAGTGCAGGACTTTGAAATGAGTATTTGTGGACGAGTGTGGTGGCTCACGCCTGTAATTTCAGCACTTTGGAAGGCCAAGGCCAGTGGGTCACCTGAGGTCAGGAGTTCGAGACCAGCCTGACCAACATGGTGAAACCCCGTCTCTACTAAAAATACAAAAATTAGCCAACCGTGGTGGCGCATGCCTGTAATCCCAGCTACTCAGGTGGCTGAGGCAGGAGAATAACTTGAACCCAGGAGGCAGAGGTTGCAGTGAGTGGAGATCGCGCCATTGCACTCCAGCCTGGGCGACAGGAGCAAATCTCCATCTAAAAAACAAAAGGAGTATTTGTTTCGCACGGGAAGAAATGTCACCCAGAACTTAAGGTTTAGTCAGGACCTGCACGACCCCTGCAGCGTGGGTGACCCGCCCCCAGGGGCACCAGGTGTCCCCTGTCGTTGGGGAGATGGGCCCCTCACCTGTAGTATGGGTCCACAATAGAAATGTAGAAGACATAGATGCCGTTGTTGTGGCTGAAAATTATCTGGTTTGCTGTACGGCCACCCAAGATCTGATACTGGACGTCTGGCCATCTCAAAGTGGCATTCCTGTTGGGGTCGTGGCAGCTCACGTAGTTCTGTGGGAGACAGAGGCGTGCCCGCTGGTCCCTGGAAGGGAGCCCTGAGCCTCCCTCCTGCGTGCAGAGACCCTGCGCCCACCCCAGTCCTCATGAGAATGAGAAGTGCATGGTGGGAGTCTGGGGCCAAGTGCGGATGGTGTGGGCAGGTTCATGCTCCCTGCAGAGGAAGCTATGGACGGAGGCTGCTCAGCCTTCATCTCCCCTGCTTCCTGCCCAGCCTTCCTGGGCTGTGGAGGCTGGAGGCTTACTAACTCCGTCTGGGTGAGAGTCGGGCTGCCAATGAGTTGTTTTTGTTTTTTTTTTCAGATAAGGTCTTGCTCTGGCCCTCAGGCTGGATGCAGTGGTGTGATCTCAGCTCACTGCAACCTCTACCTCCCAGGTTCAAGCAGTTCTCTTGCCTCAGCCTTCCAAGTAGCAGGGATTACAGGCACCCGCCACCACACCCTGCAAATTTGTGTATTTTTAGTTGAGGCGGGGTTTCACCATTTTGGCCAGGCTGGTCTCGAACTCCTGACCTCAGGTGATCCACCTGCCTCAGCCTCCCAATGTGCTGGGATTACAGGCATGAGCCGCCGTGCCTGGCCACTCTTTTTTTTGTTTTGTTTTGTTTTGAGAAAGTTTCTCTCTGTTGCCCAGGCTGGAGTGCAGTGGCACAATGCTGGCTCACTGCGGCCTTCACCTCCCAGGTTCAAGCGATTCTCCTGCCTCAAGCTCCTCAAAAGCTGGGATTACAGGTGTGCACCACTACACCCGGCTAATTTTTGTATTTTTAGTAGAGACAGCGTTTTGCCATGTCAGGCTGGTCTCGAACTCCTGTCCTCAAGTGATCAGCCCACCTCAGCCTCCCAAAGTGCTGGGATTACAGGGGTGAGCCACTGTGCCCGGCCAGAAAACCTTCATGTTCTAGCCACTCAACCGCAGCTGACGGGGAAAAAAAGAATAGTGATGGGTCTGTCTCTTAAATGCAGTCATATGAAGAATGCATTTAGAAATACCAGCAGAGCTGAAAAATAAGTCAACAACAATCACATCTATGTGTCTTTTTCTTTCTTACTTTTTATTTTTGCAGCAAGGACTAACTTTGTCAGTTAGGCTGGAGTGCAGTGGCACTGTCATAGATCACTGCAGCCTCTAAGTCCCAGGCTCAGGTGGTCCTCCTGCCTCAGTCTCCTGAGTAGCTGGGACTACAGCTGTGGGCCACCAATCCCAGTTAATTGTTTAATTTTTCTTTTTCTTTCTTTTTTTTTGAGACGGAGTCTCACTCAGTTGCCCAGGCTGGAGTACAATGGTGCAATCTCGGCTCACTGCAACCTCCACCTCCTGAGTTCAAGCGATTCTCCTGCCTCAGCCTCCAGGGTAGCTGGAATTACAGGCACCCTCCAGCATGCCCAGCTGATTTTTGTATTTTTAGTAGATGGGGTTTCAGTATGTTGGTCAGGCTGGTCTTGAACTCCTAACCTTGTGATCTGTCCACCCTAGCCTCCCAAAGTGCTGGGATTAGAGGCATAAGCCACTGTGCCTGGCCTAATTTTTTTTGTTGGTTTTGAAATGAGGTCTCACTGTGTTGCTCAGGCTTGCCTCAAACTCCCAGCCTCAAGCAGTCTTCCCTCCTCAGTCTCCCGAAGTGCTAGGATTACAGGCACGAGCCACCGTGCCAAGTTTTCTCTCTCAAAAAATAGTCATAGAGGTGGTGGTTGGATAAAGGCCGTCAGTGCACCAGGTGTCACGGGGTTGCAGTCTTTGAAATGGTTAATTGGGCCGGGTGCGATGAGGAGAGGTTCAGGCTTCGCATTTAACAAAGAAAATGCAGGCTGAACACAGCGGCTCACACCTGTAACTCCAGCCCTTTGGGAGGGCGAGGCAGGCAGATCACTTGAGGTCAGGAGTTCAAGACCAGCCTGGCCAACATGGTGAAACCCCGTCTCTACTAAAAATACAAAAACTAGCTGGACGTGGTGTCGCACGCCTGTAATCCGAGCTACCTGGAAGGCTGAGGCAAGAGAATGGCTTGAACCTGGGAGGGGAAGGTTGCGGTGAGCAGAGATTGCAGCACTGCACTCCAGCCTGGGTGACAGAGTGAGACTCCATCTCAAAAAATAAATAAATAAACAATAAGGCTGGGCATGGTGGCTCATGCCTGTAACCCCATCTCACTGGAAGGCCGAGGTGGGGGGTCACCTGAGGTCAGGAGTTTGAGCCTAGCCTGGCCAACATGGTGAGACCCCGTCTCACCAAAAAACAAAATTAGCTGGCGTGGTGCCAGGTGCCTGTAGTCCACAGCTACTCAGGAGGCTGAGGCAGGAGAATCACTTGAACCCAGGAGGTGGAGGTTGCAGTGAGCAGAGGTCCCACCACTGCACTCCAGCCCGGGTGACAGAGCAAGACTCTGTCTAAAAAAAATTAAAAACTAAAACTAACGCACACTGAGTAGGACAGCCTGGGAAACCCATCCACGCCTCAGCAGCAACCACTGGGATGGTCCCAGACCTCTCTCTTCATCAGCAAAGCCCCTGAGCACCTTGGTGCCTGCATTTCCCTCTGCGGCCCAGGCTGTATTGCGGTGTTGAGAGCTCGGCTCACTGCAACCTCCTCCTCCTGGGCTCAAGCGATTCTCCTGCCTCAGCCCCCCGAAGAGCTGGGATTACAGTCGCCCACCACCATGCCAGGCTGAGAGATGGGGTTTCACCAAGTGGCCCGGGCTGATCTTGAACTCCTGAGCTTAGGTGATCCGCCTGCCTAGGCCTCCCAAACTGCTGGGATGACAGGTGTGAGCCACCACGCCCGGCCCAGTCTTTCATTCCGTACTCAGTTCCGTGGCCGCACCGTGTCCTCACGTGCGCTCCCACCCCCTGGTGGCATGCTGAGTCTTCTGAAATGATCCTAGGGCCCTATTACCTCTCTGTTCCAGAAAAAGGGTGCCCCGAATTCCTTTATCATGGTGGTCCAGTTCTGTGGCTGGGAGGTGCAAAGCGCCGTCTTGGCCGTCAGGGAATACCTGTAGGAGAACTGCCCATTCACCTCCAGTAACACATACTCGGCTTCAACAATCTCCTGGAAAGTATCTTTTCGCCACCTAGGACACACACACAGGGCAGAGCTGCGTGGGGAGCGGGGGCAGCCCAGGAAGACCCAGGCCACAGCCACCTGGATGGCTGCGAAACCACTCGTGGGGTGGGGAGGTGGCAGAGAGCAATCAAAGAACCCTGTCCCTCCCAGGTGAGGCTGTGGTGTGCAGGCTGCAGGGAGGCTGGGAGACAGAGCTGGGTGGACAGGGAGATGGGCAGCAGCCAGCACTGAGCATGGATAACATGGAGGAAACAAAAGTCCCCTCAGGGACCAGCACGCTGGCCCACACCCGTAATCCCAGCACTTTGGGAGGCTGAGGTGGATGGATCCCCTGAGCTCAGGAGTTCAAGGCCAGCCTGGGCAACATGGCAAAACCCTGACTCTACTAAAAATGCAAAAAGTAGCTGGGCATGGTGGTGCACCTGTAATCCCAGCTACTCGGGAGGCTGAGGCAGGAGAATTGCTAGAGCCCAAGAGGTGGAGGTTGCAGTGAGCTGAGATTGCGCCACTGCACTCCAGCCTGGACAACAGAGCAAGACTTCATCTCACAAAAAAATATTTACATATGGCTGGGTGCAGTGGCTCACACCTGTAATCCCAGCATTTTGGTTTTCAAGACCAGCCTGGCCAACAAGGTGAAACTGCATCTCTGCTAATTAGCCAGGTGTGGCGGTGCATGCCGGTGGTCCCAGCTACACGGGAGGCTGAGGTGGGACGACAGCTTGAACCCAGGGGGCAGAAGTTGCAGTGAGCTCAGATTGTGCCACTGTACTCCAGCCCAGGCAACAGAGTGAGATCCTGTCTCACAAAAAGAAGAGGTGTCCCAGGAAGAAGGCTGGGGTAGGAGCACAGTGGGAAAAAGTGACCACTGTCATTTTGAGGGATCTCGGGGAACTTCGAGGGCCAGGCTGGTACCCCAGAGCCAGGAAGCATGAGGTCCGGCCACCATCCCCACCCTGCAGTAGCCCCCTGGGGTCTTACAGCTCCACCACAGGCTTCCATGGGGTGTCGTAGTAGACGAGGAGAGGACAGCCCAGTTGCTTGTAGGAGTAGGGCACCCGCAGGTCCTGGGAGGACGGCTGCCCCTGGAAGCTGGGGTCGTAGAATTGCCTTCAAGACACCAGGAAGCAGAGACGGGGAGTCTGTGAGTTCCTGCCCAGACCGCCAACCCTTCACAGCCTGTTTCTTTTTTGCAAACAGGGATCGTCCATGAGAGTGGGTGGAGGTGGCATCTGAGGTGGGCGATGGAGAGCCATGGCCCAGATGATGCCGAACCTTCCATTTTGGTTAATTTTTTGGCTGGAGTGAAGTAATGCTATCACGAGTCACTGCAGCCTCCACCTCCTGGGCCCAAGCAGTCCTCCCACCTCAGCCTCCTGAGTAGCTGGGATGACAGGCACACGCCACCACACATGGTTAATTTATTAATTTTTTGTAGCGATATGGTCTTTCTGTGTTGCCCAGGCTGGTTCCAAACTCCTGGCCTCAAGTGCTTCTCTCACCTCAGCCTCCCAAAGTGCCGGGATTACAAGTGTAAGCAACCAAGCCTGGCCAAATTTCTGCTCTTTAAATTGGATCAGTACAAAAGTAATCACGGTTTTTGCCCTCCCTCCCTCCCTCCCTCCCTCCCTCCCTCCCTCCCTCCCTCCCTCCCTCCCTCCCTCCCTCCCTTCCTTCCTTCCTTCCTTCCTTCCTTCCTTCCTGTCTTTCTCTCTCTCTCTCTCTTTCTTTCTTTCTGTCTGTCTTTCTCTCTCTCTCTTTCTCTTTCTTTCTTTCTTTTTTTAGACAGAGTTTCACTCTTGTTGCCCAGGCTGGAGTGCAGTGGCACAGTCTCGGCTCACTGCAACCTCCACCTCCCAATTTCAAGCAATTCTCCTGCCTCAGCCTCCCAAGTAGCTGGGATGACAGGCACCCGCCACCAAACCCGGCTTTTTCTTTTTTGTATTTTTAGTAGAGACAGGTTTCATCGTGTTGGCCAGGCTGGTCTTGAACTCCTGCCCTCAGGTGATCCGCCAGCCTAGGCCTCCTGAAGTGCAGGGATTACAGGGGTGAGCCACTGCACCTGTAATAACTATAATTACTCTCGCAACAACGAATAAATCGCCCAGTTTAAGGTGTAGACTCAGATGACTTTCCCCTCTGTGTCCTCTGCAGGTCCCAGACTCGCTGCCCCTTAGCAAGCCTGGAAACGCCAGATTAGGTCTCGGCTCTGAACGGGTAACTCAATCTTGACTTCCATTTGAGGGGTCAGGTCTTACAAAGCACACAGAAGCGTGCACTCGCGTGGCAAGGAGCTCCGCCATGCTGGGGCCAGTGAGGCACCTCACTATGGTTTGGGTATTTGAGATGCAGTTTCTCTCTTGCTGCCCAGGCTGGAGTGCAGTGGCGAGATCTCAGCTCACTGCAACCTCTGCCTCCTGGGTTCAAGCAATTCTCCTGACTCAGCCCTCTGAGTAGCTGGGATTACAGGCATATGCCACAACGCCCGGCTAATTTTTTGTATTTTTAGTAGAGGCAGGGTTTCTCCATGTTGGCCAGGCTGGTCTCGAACTCCTGACCTCAGGTGATTCACCCACCTCGGCCTCCCAAAGTGCTGGGATTACAGGCATGAGCCACCGTGCCCAGCTGGTTTGGATATTTGTTCCTTCCAGAGCTCCTGCTGAAAGTGGACCCCCAGGGTTGGAGGGGGCCTAGTCGGAGGTGTTTAGGCCACACGGTCTGATCGTCTATGAATGGCTTAGAGCCATCTTCATGGTACTGAGTGGGTTTTGAGCCTCAGCTTCCATGAGAACTGGGTGTTTAAGAGCCTGGCACCTCCTCCCTACCTGTCCCCACCTTTGGTTTTGTTTTGTTTCTTGGTCTCGAGGTTGCCCGGGCTGGTCTCCAACTCCTGGCCTCAAGCAGTCCTCCTGCCTCAGCCTCCCAAAGTGCTGGGATTACAGATGTGAGCCACCACACCCGGCCTTTCCCCGCTCCCCTCTCTTTTCTTTGTTTGAAACTGAGTCTCACTCTGTCGCCCAGGCTGGAGTGCAGTGGCTCGATCTCTGCTCACTGCAACCCCCGCCTCCCGGTTTCAGCCTCCCGAGTAGCTGGGATTACAGGCGCCACCACCATGCCTGGCTAATTTTTGTATTTTGAGTAGAGATAGCGTTTTGCCATGTTGGCCAGGCTGGTCTTGAACTTCACCCGCCTCTGCCTCCCAAAGTGCTGGGATTAGAGGTGTGAGCCACTGCGCCCGGCCATAAGTCTCTTTTCTTTATAAATCACCCAGCCTCGGGTAGTCCCTTGAAGCAGCACAAATTGACTAAGGCCCAGACTCTCCTACCTGCGTGGGGGCACATGCCCACTGAGTGGGACAACACGTGGGACCAGCCAGCTGAGGTAAGAGGACTGCTTGAGCCCAGGAGGTTGAGGCTGCAGTGAGCTATGATCACACCATTGCACGCCAGCCTGGGCCACGGGCCAGACCCCATCTCTTAAAAAAAAAAGAAAAAAAGTCTGGTCGCGGTGGCTCAGGCCTGTAATCCCAGCACTTTGGGAAGCCGAGGTGGGCAGATCACCTGAGGTCAGGAGTTCGGGACCAGCCTGACCAACATGGAGAAACCACATCTCTATATAAAAAAACAAAAAAACAAAATTAGCCGGGCATGGTGGTGCATGCCTGTAATCCCAGCTACTTGGGAGGCCAAGGCAGGGGGATCGCTAGAACCCAGGAGGCAGAGGTTGTGATGAGCCGAGATTGCACCATTGCACTCCAGCCTGGGCGACAAGAGAAAAACTCCATCTCAATCAGTCAATCCTAATTTGCTTGTGGCTTTTGCAGGCCCACTGTCGCCTTGGGTGTCAGGGGTTGTCGGGGACGCTGCCTTACTTCTCGATGATGAAGCTGTAATTGTCTTGTAAGGTCAAAGCCTCCAGGACGCCCTTGGAACAGGCGGAAATTTTGCTGCAAGCAAAAAAGGACATTGAGCAATTTCCTGACCTCACAAGGAACCAAGCCATTAAGTATTGGACAGAAAGGGAGGAACTGGGCATGGTGGCTCAGGCCTGTAATCCCATCACTTTGGGAGGCTGAGGCAGGTGGATCACCTGAGCTCAGGAGTTCGAGACCAACCTGGCCAACATGGGAAAACCCCGTCTCTACTAAAAATACAAAAGGTAGCCAGGCGTGACATCTTCACCTCTAATCCCAGCTACTTGGGAGGCTGAGGCAGGAGAAGTGCTCGAACCCGCGGTGCTTGCAGGGAGCCGAGATCGTGCCATTGCACTCCAGCCTGGGTGACAGAGCAAGACTCTATTTCAAAAATAAATAAAATAAAATAAGAAAAGAAAAGAAATGGAAAGGGAGGGCACACCTATGTGTCCAACGCACGAGCAGCTGTCAAATGAGCAGATACGGGAAAAACTCGGGGAACACCAGCTCTGGCAGGGGCATGACAGGAAACGGCTCTGCACTTTGCCATCAGGGGTGTCGCTTGTCTAGCTTTTTAAAAATTTTATTTAGGCTTGGCGCAGTGGCTCACGCCTGTAATCCCAGCACTTTGGGAGGCTGAGGCCAGCAGATCACTTGAGGTCAGGAGTTGGAGATCATCCTGACCAACATGGTGAAACCCCGTCTCTACTAAAAATATCAAAACTAGCTGGGCGTGGTGGCGTGCACCTGCAATCCCAGCGACTCAGGAGGCTGAGGCAGGAGAATCACTTGAACCCAGGAGGCGGAGTCTGCAGTGAGCCGAGATCACGCCACTGCACCCCAGCCTGAGCAAGACTCTGTCTCAAAAAAATAAAAGATGTGGATATCACCAACAGGTGAAGGAGGAGAGACCAACGTGCTAGAAACAAACTTAACCTATCAGTGTGAATCGGTTAGCTTTTAATTGTGGCCATAATATATAAAAAACAGAATACTCTAAAGTCATCTATCTTAGCAATTGTCACCATGGGGCTAATGGTGCCCGATCACCTCCGCTCTCCCCACTCCACTCCAATATCAACATACTTACTGTCTTTTTTTCTTTTCTTTTCTTTCTTTTTTTTTTTTTAGACAAGAGTCGCGCTGTGTCACATAGGCTGGAGTGCAGTGGCTCGATTTCAGCTCACTGCAGCTTCCACCTCCTGGGTTCAAGTGATCCTCCTGCCTCAGCTTTCCAAGTAGCTGAGATTGCAGGTGCCCGCCACCACGCCTCATTACTTTTTCTTTTTCAGTAGAGATGGAGTTTTTGCCATGTTGGCCAGGTTGGTCTTGAACCCCTGTCCTGAAGTGATCTGCCCACCTCAGCCTCCCAAAGTGCTGGGATCACAGGCGTGAGCCACTGTACCCAGCCTCAACACACTTACTTCTGGATGACGATCTTTTTATCCAGGTCACAGCCGACTGAAATCAGTGTTGACTGCAGAGGAGAGAGACACAAATGCAGATTCAAGTTAGCGAGGGACACTCAGACACAGTGAACCCCATACAGGAACACGCTCCCATGGAAAGCGCTTGGAAACCACGTGGCCTGCATCCCGACTGGGTGCCCCTGATGCCTGGGTTGCGCTGTAACCGCAGCTGGCCCCGTGGAACTTCAGCTCTAAGAGCCTGGGGCACGGCTAAACTCCACATGTCGCCTGACGAGCTTTTAGTGGCTTCACGGGGACCAGAACTAATTTTTTTTAATTAATAATTTTTTTTTTTGAGATGGAGTCTTGCTCTGTCACCCAGGCTGGAGTGCAACGGCACAATTTCGGCTCACTGCAACCTCCGCCCCCTGGATTCAAGCGAGTCTCCTGCCTCAGCCTCCTGAGGAGCTGGGATTATAAGCGCGTGACACCACGCCAAGCTAGTTTTTGTATTTTAGTAGAGACAGGGTTTCACCATGTTAGCCAGGCTGGTCTTGAACTCCTGACCTCAGGTGATCCTCCTGTCTTGGCCTCCCATAGTGATGGGGTAACAGATGTGAGCTACCGCGCCTGGGCAGGTCTGTGGTTTTTAGACATTCACAGAGTAATGTGACTATCACCTCTGTCTAATTCCAGAACATTTTATTTCATTTTATTACTTTATTTTACTTTACTTTTTTTTTAAATCCCCCAACCCCCCTACTTTTTTTGAGACATAGGCTCCCTCTGTCACCCAGACTGGAGTGCGGTGGCACAATCTCGGCTCACTGCAACCTCCACCTCCCGAGTTTAAGCAATTCTCCTGCCTCAGTCTCCGAAGCAGCTGGGACACTACGGGTGCGCATCACCACACCCAGCTATTTAATAAATTTTTTTTCTCTAGTAGAGGTGGGGTTTTACCAAGTGGGCCAGATTGGTCTCAAACTCCTGACCTCAGGTGTGAGCCACCGCGCCCGGCCAGTCTCTGCTGTTTGGGCATTGTGGAATTTGCTGCCGTGAACATTCGTGGCCAAGCACAATGACGGACCATGTGTGGTCTTCCGTTCTCTTGGAGCACCTAGAAGTACGTTACCTGAGTTGCCCTGACACGGTTCTGGGGATACCCAACAAGACAGGCACATGCTTTCAGGATGGTGAGTATGAGGAGGCAGCCCTGGGGTGTAATGATGGGGGAGGGGACAGTGACCCCAGCAATGGGGACAGGATCACCTCCATCTCCAGACCCTGAACAAGGGCTCGGACAGCCCCTCAGTGCCCACTTCTGTAAGTCTTAACACTTACAACACCAAATATGAGACAGCAAAGATTTGGGTCCTACCAGGGGCTTGAAATCCACACATGAAATTTCCTTGTTTGCTATGTCCACAGTTAAAGTAGATATGGTGGCTCTCTTTAAGCTGCAAGGCAATGGAACCTGTGTTATTAGAGAATGGCACCCCTGTAAACAAGGCTGCATTCCATTCATCCTTCTATCTATCCATCCATCTATCCATCTAACCATCCATCCATCCATCTATCTATCCAACCATCTCATCCATCCTTCTATCCATCCAACTATCCATCCATCCATCCATTCCATCTACCCACCCATCCATCCATCCATCCATCCATCCATCCCATCCACCCATCCATCCATCCATCTATCCATCCATCCAATCATCCATCCATCCATCTATCCATCTAACCATCCATCCATCCATCCATCCATCCATCCATCCATCCATCCATCCATCCATCCATCCAATCATCCATCCATCCATCTATCCATCTAACCATCCATCCATCCATCTATCCATCCAACCATCTCATCCATCCAACTATCCATCCATCCATTCCATCTACCCACCCACCCATCCATCCATCCATCCATCCAACCATTCATCCATCTAACCATTCATCTATCCATTCCATCCACCCACCCACCCATCCATCCATCCATCTCATCCATCCTTCCATCCATCCATCCAACATCCATCCATCTATCCATCCAACCATCCATCCATCCATCCAACCATTCATCCATTCCATCCACCCACCCATCCATCCATCTCATCCATCCTTCCATCCATCCATCTAACCATTCATCCATCCATTCAACCATCCATCCATCCATCCAACCATCTAACCATCCATCTATCTCATCCATCCTTCCATCCATCCATCCAACCATCCATCTATCCATCCAACAATCCATCCATCCATCCAACAATCCATCCATCCATCCAACCATCCATCCATTCCATATACCCACCCATCCATCTCATCCATCTTTTGATCCATTCATTCCACCCACTCACCTATCTATCTACCCATCCATCTCTCTATCCATCTACCCATTTATCTATCCATCCATTCCATCCACTCACTCATCCATCCATCCATCCACTCACCCATCCATCTATCCATTCACTTATCTATCTATCCATTTATCCATCATCCATCCATCCATCTATCACCCACCCAACCATCCATCCTTCCCCCATCCATCTATCTACTCATCTCTCTACCCATTTATCCATCTGATATGGTTTGGTTCTGTGTCCCTACCCAAATCTCATGTCAAACTGTAATCCTCACATGTTAGAGGAGGGACCTGGTGGAAAGTGACTGGATTATGGGGGCAGTTTCCCCTTTCTGTTCTTGTGATAGTGAGTGAATTCTCACAATAGCTGACAATTTAAAAGTGTGTGGGGCCAGCCTAGGTGACTCATGCTTGTAATCTCAGCACTTTGGGAGGTTGAGGTTGGTGGATCACCTGAGGTCAGGAGTTTGAGATTGGCCTGGCCAACATGGTGAAACCCCATCTCTACTAATACAAAAATTAGCCAGACATGATGGCACATGCCTGTAATCTCAGCTACTTGGGAGGCTGAGGCATAAGAATTGATTGAAATTGGGAAGTAGAGGTTGCAGTGAGTGGAGATCACACCACTGCACTCTAGACTGGGTGACAAATTGGAATGGTGTCTCAAAGAAAAAGACAAATTGGCAGGCCAGGCGTGGTGGCTCATGCCTATAATCCCAGCACTTTGGGAGGCCGAGGTGGGTGGATCACTTGAGGTCAGGAGTTTAAGATCAGTCTGGCCAACATGGTGAAACCCCATTTCTACTAAAAATACAAAAAAATTACCCAGGAGTGGTGGCATGTGCCTGTAATGCCAGCTACTTGGGAGGCTGAGACAGGAGAACTGCTTGAACTCGGGAGGCGGAGGTTGCAGTGGGCCAGGATTGAGCCATTGCCCTCCAGCTTGGGCAACAAGAATGAAACTTCGTCTCAAAAAAAAAAAAAAAAAAAAATGTGGCCAGGCGTGGTGGCTCATGCCTGTAATCCAAGCACTTTGGAGGCCAAGGCGGGTGGATCACCTGAGGTCAGGAGTTCAAGACCAGCCTGACCAACATGGTGAAACCCCATCTTAAAAAAAAAAATGTATGGCAATTTCTTTATCTCTGTCTGTCTCCTGCTGCCCTGAGAAGACATGCTTTTTTTCCCCTTCACTCGCTGCCATAATTGTATGTTTCATAAAACCCCCAAGTCATGCTTCCTATTAAGCCTGAGCAACTGTGAGTCAAAAACCCTCTTCTCTTTATAAATTATCCAATCTCATGTAGTTCTATATAGTAGGGTGAAAACAGACCATTACATCATCCATCCGTCCATCCCTGAATACTGACTGGGTGAGGTGGCTCATGCCTGTAATCCTAGCACTTTGGGGGGCGGAGGCGGGAGGATCACTTGAGGTCAGGAGTTCAAGACCAGCCAGGCTAACATGGTGAAACCCTATAACTACTAAAAATACAAAAATTAGCTGGGCGTGGTGTCATGCGCCTGTAAGTCCAGCTCCTTGGGAGGCTGAGGCAGGAGAATCACTTGAACCCAGGGGGTGGAGGTTGCAGTGAGCTGAGATCGTGCCGTTGCACTCCAGCCTGAGTGACAGAGCGTGACCCTGTCAAATGACAGCCTGTGGTCACAAATGGGGCTTAAACTTCCATCGAGTTTTCACTGCTTCTTGAGTCAGTTTTGTGAGGGGTTTTTGTTTTGTTTTGAGACAAAGTTTCGCACTTGTCGCTCAGGCTGGAGGGCAATGGCATGATCGCGGCTCACCGCAACCTCAGCCTCCTAGGCTCAGGCAATTCTCCTGCCTCAGCCTCTCGAGTAGCTGGGATTACAGGCACCTGGCACCATGCCCAGCTAACTCTTTTGTATTTTTAGTAGAGATGGGGTTTCAGCATCGTGGCCAGGCTGGTCTCGAACTCCTGACCTCAGGTGATCCGCCTGCCTTGAGCTCCCAGAGCGCTGGGATTCCAGGTGTGAGCCGCAGCGCCCGCCTCCCTTCCATCTTAAGGCTGAGTCATCTTCCGCCATGCAGGTGGACCACACTGTGTTTATCTTTTCGTCTGCGGATGGACCGGTCGGTTGACTTTGCCTTTTGGCTGTTGTGAATCGCGCTGCTGTGAGCACAGGTGTGCAAATACCTCCCTGAGTTCCTGCTTTCTATTCCTTCGGGATGGATGGCAGCGGGTTTGTTAGTGCCGATGGTAACGCTGTGTTCAAGTGTTTTGAGGGACCATTTGTAAAGTGTTTTTGTTCTTGTCGTTATTTGTTGTTGAGATGGAGTCTCACTGTGTCGCCCAGGCTAGAGTGCAGTGGCATGATCTGGGCTCACTGCAATGTCCGCCTCCCAGGTTCAAGCCATTCTCATGCCCCGGACTCCTGAGTAGCTGGGATTACGGGCACCTGCCATCACACCCAACTCATTTTTGTATTTTTAGTAGAGACAGGGTTTCACCATGTTGGCCAGGGTGGCCTCAAAGTCCTGGCCTCAGGTGATCCGCCCACCTCGGCCTCCGAGAGTGCTGGGATTACAGGCGTGAGCCACCTCACCTGGCTCTTATAAAGTGTTTGAATCATCTTGTTTCACTGTTCTGGAGCTGGGGGTCTGATCTCAGCCCTGCTTCTCTTCCCCTCCTGCTAAGGGAACCCCCGTACGCAGCCTGGTCCCCGCCTCTGTCCAGGAGACAGCATACCTGGAAGTGAAGTTGGGGTCGGTCCTGCCCCAGTGCTGCTGCTGTTTTAGGTAAATATCCTGTGGGGGCAAGAGAGAAAATCTCCAGTTCATCCGTGGATCACCATGGGCATCCCTCAACTCAGGACGGTGGGAGAGATGGGCTGTCAGAGGGGACATGGTGGGGATGAACCTGGAAGCTGCTTAGCCTGCTCTGTTCCTTCATTTTTTTAGATGGAGTCTTGCTCTACTGCCCAGCTAGAGTGCAATGGCATGATCCTGGCTTACTACAACCTCCATCTCCCAGGTTCAAGCGATTCTCCTGCCTCATCCTCCTGAATAACCTGGACTGCAGGTGAGTGCTGTCACACCCAGCTAGTTTTGTATGTTTAATAGAGACGGGGTTTCACCATGTCGCCCAGGCTGGTCTCCAACTCCTGACCTCAGGCGATCCACCCACCTCAGCCTCCCAAAGTGCTGGGATTACAGGTGTGAATCACCATGGCCAGCCCAGCCCTGCTCCGTTCTAATCCCACCATCTGTGAGAGGCTTCTGGAAGCTCACGGAAACAACGGCCCCAGTGTGATGGCTCCCATTCCCTTGCTCCCTGAGTTCGGGGACCCACAGTGAGGAGTGACTGTTTTCCTTACTCACCTAGAAGTGATGTGATGGGCCTGGTCAAAGGGGTCTGCTGTTACCGACTTGTACCTGGTCAGGCCCCTGCCCTGTGGAAGCTGCACCCCACCTCCAATCCTCATCCCTCAGTTTACTCAGCTAACTCAGATCTCGAGTCCCGCCCTGGGCTGGGTTAGGCTCCTCCCTGTCATGCCATCCAGGAATCTCCCATGTGACACTTATTGATTGATTGATTGAAATGGGTTCTCACTCTGTCACCCAGGCTGGAGTGCAGTGGCACAATCTCAGGTCACTGCAACCTCCACCTCCTGGGTTCAAGTGATTCTCCTGCCTCAGCCTTCTGAGTAGCTGGGATTACAGGCAGGCGCCACCACGTCTGACTAATTTTTGGGTTTTTAGTAGAGATGGGGTTTCTCTTTGTTGGTCAGGCGGGTCTCAAACTCTTCCCCTCATGATCTGCCCGCCTCGGCCTCCCAAAATGCTGGGATTACAGGTGTGAGCCACTGTGCCCAACCCGTGTGACACTTTAATGAGGTCAAGCGCATGGGTGACATCTGCCTGATCATCTTCCCACCACGGGGCAGGGCTAGGGGCTGTGTTCCCTGGAAATTCTTCAGCTCTTTATGCTGGTAAGGGAAGGAGGAAGAGGGGGCCCTCGAGGGACATGCAGCCAGGTTTGGTGGGGACATAGCTCACCAGATTGTACTTGGTGTTCCCATCTAACGTGTGACCGCTCTCATAGAAGGCGGCCTGGAATCCCAGGGAGTGGGGGTTGCTCACCATTACCTAGGGGTGGGGGGAAGAGAAGCTGAGGCTGTACAGAGCCAGCAGGCAGACAAGGCGACAACCCCCCAGAGTGACGCCAGCACACCTTCAGATGAAAAACCAGGGCCGGTTGCGGTGGCTCACGCCTGTAATCCCAGCAATATGGGAGGCCGAGGAAGGTGGATTATTTGAGGTCAGGAGTTCGAGACCACCCTGGCAAACAGTGAAACCCCATCTCTAGTAAAAATACAAAAATTAGCCAGGTGTGGTGGCAGGAGCCTGTAATCCCAGCTGCTTGGGAGGCTGAAGCAGGAGAATTGTGTGAACCCAGGAGGCAGAGGTTGCAGGGAGCTGAGATTGCAACACTGCATTGCAGTCTAGGTGACAGAAGGAGATTCCCTCTCAAAACAAAAACAAAAGCAAAAGACTAGCTGGGCGTGGTGGCTCACGCCTGTAATCCCAGCACTTTGGGAGGCTGAGGCAGGCAGATCACCTGGGGTTGGGAGTTCAAGACCAGCCTGACCAACATGGAGAAACCCCGTCTGTACTAAAAATACAAAATTAGCCAGGTGTGGTGGGACATGCCTGAAATCCCAGCTACTCAGAGGCTGATAGGGGCAAAATGCTTGAACATGGGAGGTGCAGGTTGCAGTGAGCTAAGATCGCACCATTATACTCCAGCCTGAGGAACAAGAGTGAAACTCTGTCTCAAAAAAAAAAAAAAAAAAGTAAAAATTTAAAAAACGAACTTGCTCTGTAAATGCAGCTGCAGGTGCAATCCCTGATGTGCCCCCTCCCTGCCCTGCTCTGCCCCAGCATCACCCACAGCCCCCAGCTGTGGCCTCGAAGCCCTGCAATGCAGACAGTGTGGATCTGCAGAACTGTGAGCCTGGGCCTGTCTTGCAGCAGGAGACACAGAGGAGGGAGCCCTGGGTTTGAGCCAGAGGCAACCTCGGGTGTCCCCCTGCAGGCCCTGATCCCCTTGTATTTTGTGACACTCCTCCATATCCTCACAAAAGCCATCCCCAGCATAATTACAGATACTCCTTGACTCATGACGGGGTCATATTCCCATAAATCTATCATAAATGGGAAATATCAGCCAAGTGCAGTGGCTCATGTCTATAATCCCAGCACTTTAGGAGGCCAAGGTGGGAAGATTGCTTGAGCCCAGGAGTTCAAGACCAGCCTGGGCAACACAGCGAGATCCTGTCTCTAAAAATATAAAGTTGAAAATATACTAAGTTGAAAATGCATTTATTTATTTATTATTATTATTTTCGAGATGGAGCCTCACTGTGTCGCCCAGGCTGGAGTGCAGTGGTGCAATCTTGGCTTGCTGCAAACTCTGCCTATCGGGTTCCAGCGATTCTCCTGCCTCAGCCTCCTGAGTAGGTGGGATTAGAGGCGCGTGCGAACACACTGGCTAGTTTTTGTATTTGCGGTAGACATGAGGTCTCACCATGTTGGCCAGGCTGGTCGTGAACTCCTGACCTCAGGTGCTCTGCCTGTCTCAGCCTCCTGACGTGCTGGGATTACAGGCATGAGCCATCAAATTCGGCCTATTTATTTATTTTTATTTTTATTTTTGGAGACGGAGTCTTGCTCTGTTGCCCAGGCTGGAGTGGCAGTGGTCCCATCTCGGCTCACTGCAATCTCTGCCTCCCGGGTTCAAGCGATTCTCCTGCCTCAACGTCCCGAGTAGCTGGGACTACAAGCACCCTACCACACCCAGCTAATTTTTGTATTTTTAGTAGAGGCAGGGTTTCATCATGTTGCCCAGGCTGGTCTCGAACTCCTGAGCTTAGGCAGTCTGTCCACCTGAGCCTCCCAAAGTGCAGGCGTAACCTGTGTGAGGCAGCATACCCGCCTGCAAATGCACGTGATACACCTGCCCTACCAAGCATCGGAGGTTAGCCCGGCCGGCTTTAGACTGAGAACAAACTGAGCAGCACGGAAAGAGAGCAGAACCCACTGACCCTTCCCCGACTTGGTTCACGACTTCAACATTTCAGGGCTCCTGCCTTCCTGAATGTTGGTAGAAATAGATGATACATTTGGGTGAGTGTATCCGTCTTTAAGTATAGATTCAGTGCCTTTGGTAGATTCACATACGGTGCAGCCATCACCACCACCCATTTTTTTTTTTTTTTTTTTTTTGAGACGGAGTTTCGCTCCTGTTACCCAGGCTGGAGTGCAATGGCGCGATCTCGGCTCACCGCAACCTCCGCCTCCTGGGTTCAGGCAATTCTCCCGCCTCAGCCTCCTGAGTAGCTGGGACTACAGGCGTGTGCCACCATGCCCAGCTAATTTTTTGTAATTTTAGTAGAGATGGGGTTTTACCATGTTGACCAGGATGGTCTCGATCTCTTGACCTCATGATCTACCCGCCTCGGCCTCCCATAGTGCTGGGATTACAGGCGTGAGCCACCGTGCCCGGCCCTGCCACCACCCATTTTTAAACTTTCTCCTCACCGCAAACAGAAACTGTGTCCTCATGGAGCAATAGTTTACCTACTTTAAAATTTTTATTTACTTATTTATTTATTTTGAGATAGAGTCTTGCTCTGTTGCCCAGGCTAGGGTACAATGGTGCGATCTCGGCTCACCGCAACCTTCGCCTCCCAGATTCTAAGCAATTCTCCTGCCTCAGCCTCCCGAGTTGGGATGACAGGCGTGCACCACCACACCCAGCTAATTTTTGTATTTTTAGTAAAGATGGGGTTTCATCGTGTAGGTCTGGCTGGTCTCGAACTCCTGATTTCGTGGTCTACCCACCTCAGCCTCCCAAAGTGCTGGGATTGCAGGTGTAACCCACCACACCTGGCCTAAATTTTTTATTCTTTGAGAGATAAGGTCCTGCTCTGTTACCCAGGCTGGAGGGCAGTGGCATGATCATAGCTCACTGTAGCCTCAACCTCCTGGGCTCAAGTGATCCTCCTGCCTCAGCCTCCCAAGTAGCTGGAACTACAGGTGCACGTGACTGCCTGTGGCTAATTTTTATCATTTTTATAGAGACAGGGTCTCACTATGCTGCCCAGGCTGGCCTCGAACTCCTGGGTTCTGGCAATCCTCCCACCTTAGCCTCCTGAAGTGCTGGGATTAAGGACATGAGCCACCGCACCTGACCCTCGCAGTTATTGAATACTATACTAACAGTGAAAAACAGAAAGATTATCTCGGTACTGGAAGCACGGTTTCTACTGACTGTGATCGTTTTTGTGCCATTGTAAAGTCAAAACCTTGTGGAACCATCTGCACTTGCAACTCGGCCTAGACGCTTGGATCTTAGATCCAGGAACAAGGCCTTCCTGCTGGGTGGGGGAAGGCCGCGGGGGTCCGGGCTCTTACCTGCTAGCAAGAGAAGCCAGCTCGGGCTGAGTTAAGAAAATGAGGCTGGGCACTGTGGCTTATACCTGTAATCCCAGCACTTTGGGAGACTGAGGCGGATGGATCACCTGAAGTCAGGAGTTCGAGACCAGCCTGAACAACATGGTGAAACCCCGTCTTACTAAAAATACAAAAATTAGCCAGGCATGGTGCCATGCATCTGTAATCCTAGCTACTTGGGAGGCTAAGGCAGGAGAATCACTTGAACCCGAGTGGCAGAGGTTGCAATGAGCCAAGATCATGCCACTGCACTCCAGCCTGGGCGACAGAGCAAGACTCTCAAAAAAAAAAGGAAAGAAAAGAAAAGAAAAAGAATTTATGGGCAGCTCAGAAGGATGGAGGAGGCACCACAGGCAGCACAAGAGATGACAGATGACCAGCTGGACAGCCATAGCCCCAACACACCCAAACATGCAGAGGCCTGCCTGGGGCAAGACACAGAAACGGCCGGGCATGGTGGTTCACACCTGTAATCCCAGTGCCTTAGGAGGCTGAGGTGAGCGGATCACTTGAGACTAGGAGTTCAAGATCAACCTGGCCAATATGGCGAAACCCCATCTCCAGTAAAAATAGAAAATTAGGCCTGGCGTGGTGGCTCATGCTTGTAATCCCAGTACTTTGGGAGGCCGAGTTGGGTGGATCATGAGGTCCGGAGTTCGAGACCAGGGTGAAACCCTGTTTCTACTAAAAAATACAAAAATCAGCTGGGCATGGTGGTGCACGCCTGTAGTCCCAGCTACTCAGGCGACTGAGGCAGGAGAATCACTTGAACCTAGGAGGTGAAGGTTGCAGTGAGCCGAGATCACACCACTGCACTCCAGCCTGGCGACAGAGTGAGACTCTGTCTCAAAAATATATATATATACAAAATTATCCAGGTGTGGTTTTGGGTGCCTGTAATCCCAGCTACTTGGGAGGCTGAGGCAGGAGAACTGCTTGAGGCTGGAGGCAGAGGTTGCAGTGAGCTAAGTCCACACCACTGGACTCCAGCCTGATTGACAGGGTGACTCTGTCTCAAAAAAAAAAGATACATAAAGACAATTTCTATGCAGAATGGTGGTGAGTGAGCATCTCTTCTTGGGGGGGGGGTGCCAGGGGATTTCCAAAATCTGGGCGTGGGCACCGGGCCTGTGGCTGAGAGTCCTAGGCAGCAAAAGCACCCAGATGTACTCACCAGGGGAACCAGGGATGTACCTGGCTGGGGTATCAGCAAAGCCGTCAGTTCCAGCTGGCTGTTCATGTCGATGTTATGCATGCTGTGTACAAATTCTCCCGTCAGAAACTCTATCTAGTTAGAAAGGCAAAGAAGAAAGAAAATCATGCCCCTGTTCCCCAAAGGAAAGGGCGAGGAGGCGGGAAGGTGGCAGGGAAGCGCGGGGTGCTGCAGCCCGGATCTGCGCTTGTGCCGCTGTCTTCCCACTAGACTCTGTACTTGCAGAAGGGGCTGCAGGTGGGCACAATGCCAGCCCCTCCCTTCTCTCCAGAAGTATCCCCCAACCCTGACATTCACAGTAATTGCTTCTTTCTGTTCCTTTCTCTTTTTCTGAGACAGGGTCTTGCTTGGTCACCCAGGCTGGAGTGCAGCGGGTGAGATCATGGCTCACTGCAGCCTTGACCTCTCGGGCTCGAGCGATCATCTCCCCTCAGCCTCCTGAGTAGCCGGGACTACAGACGTGCACCACTATTCCTGGCTAGTTAAATTTTCTTTTTTGTAGAGACAAGGTCTTACTATGTTGCCAGGCTGGTCCCAAACTCCCGGGCACAAGCGATTCTCCTGTCCGCCTGCCAAAGTGCTTGGTGGTCCAGGTGTGAGCCACTGCGCCTGGCGTTTTTGCTTCTTTAGAGTAACGCTGCCTCGCATGCATGTCAAGACCGTGATTATTCCCCAGCACTTTTAAGCCTCTTTCAATATCCAGCTTTGTTGGCTGGGTTGAGTTCTCACAGCTGTAATCTTGACGTGATCTCTGTAATCTTGATCTCTTAAATTCAGAGATTTGAGACCAAGCTGAACAGCACAGGGAGACTCCTGTCTCTACAAAACTAATTTTTTTGTTGTTGTTGTTTTTTTATTCTACCCAGGCTGGAGTTCAGTGGCATGATCTCAGCTCACTCCAACCTTTGCCTCCCGGGTTCAAGCCATTCTTCTGCCTCAGCCTCCCGAGTAGCTGGCACATGTGACCACGCTCAGCTAATTTTTGTATTTTTAGTAGAGACAGAGTTTCACCATGTTGGCCAGCCTGGTCTTGAACTCCTAACCTCAGGTGATCCACCCACATCAGTCTCCCGAAGTGCAGGGATTGGGATCACAGGTATGAACCACCGTGCCTAGCCAAAAACTAAAATTGTAAAAAGACACAATCTGTAAGTTTCTCCTCTATCCCTTTTCCTTTTATTATTATTATTATTATTATTTTGAGACAGAGTCTCACTCTGTCACCCAGGCTGGACTGCAGTGGCATGATCTGGGCTCACTGCAACCTCCGCTTCCCAGGTTCAAGTGATTCTCTTGCCTCAGCCTCCTGAGTAGCTGGAATTACAGGTGCGTGCTACCACACCTGACTAATTTATGCATTTTTGGTAGAGATGGGGTTTCTCCATGTTAGTCAGGCTGGTCTCAAACTCCTGACCTTGTGATCCACCTGTCTCGGCCTCCCAATGTGCCGGGATTACAGGCGTGAGCCACCATGGCCGGCCTATCCCTTTTCCTTTCTATGGATGTTGGAAGACGCCACGCTGTTCGGCCTGTAGCATTTCTTGAAGTCTGGATTTCCCTGGTGCAGGCAAACCCTCTCTCTGTCTTTTGTATTTGTGGCATATTTGCAGCTGGACTGACACTTGCCCCATCAGATTAGAGTTTGCTTGTGTTGGAAAGATTCAGTGGGTGATGTGATTGATCTCTTATTAGTGATGAATACTATCCTATTGTCTGTCTTATTTTGTCAAGTTTTAAATTAGTTTTTTAGAAATGGGAGTCTCATTTTGTCACCCAGATTGGAGTGGAGTGACTCCATCATAGCCTCAAACTCCTGGGCTCAAGCAATCCCCATACCTCACCCTCCTGAGTAGCTCAGACCACACACCACCATGCCCAACTTTTTAAAATTAAAAAAAAATTTTTTTATAAAGATGGGGTTTCACCATGTTGGTCAGGCTGGTCTTGAACTCCTCCCGATCTCAGGTGATCCACCCGCCCTGGCCTCCAAAGTGCTTGGATTATAGGCGTGAGCCACCACGCCTGGCCCTTTTTTTTCTTTTTTGAGGAAGTCTTGCCCTGTCGCCCAGGCTGGAGTGCAGTGGCGTGATCTCAGCTCATTGCAACCTCCGCCTCCCAAGTTAATGCAATTCTCCCACCTCAGCACTCCAAGTAGGTGGAGTTATAGGCACCCACCACCACACCTGGCTGATTTTCATATTTTTAGTAGAGATGGGCTTTCACCATGTTGGCTAGGCTGGTCTGGAACTCCTGACCTCAAGTGATCTGCCTGCCTCAGCCTCTCAAAGTGCTGGGATTACAGGCGTGAGCCATCACACTGTGCCTGGCCAATGCCTAGCACTTTTTTTTTTTAAAAGACGGAATCTCGCTCTGTTGCCCAGGCTGGAGTACAATAGTGCAATCTCAGCTCACTGCAACCTCTGCCTCCTGGGTTCAAGCGATTCTCCTGCCTCAGCCTCCCAAGTAGCTGGGATTACAGGCACTGCCACCACGCCCGGCTAATTTTTGTATTTTTTTTAGTAGAGATGGAGTTTCGCCATGTTGGCCAGGCTGATCTTGAACTCCTGACCTCAGGTGATCTGCCCACCTCGGCCTCCCAAAGTGCTGGGATTGCAGGCATGAACCACCATGCCCAGCTGCCCAGCATTTAAAAAAAAAAAAATGTATGTTAGAAACAGTCTGTGTTGGGCCGGGCGCAGTGGCTCAAGCCTGTAATCCCAGCACTTTGGGAGGCTGAGGCGGGTGGATCACGAGGTCAAGAGATCGAGACCATCCTGGTCAACATGGTGAAACCCTGTCTCTACTAATAATACAAAAAATTAGCTGGGCATGGTGGCGCGTGCCTGTAATCCCAGCTACTCAGGAGGCTGAGGCAGGAGAATTGCCTGAACCCAGGAGGTGGAGGTTGCAGTGAGCCGAGATCGCGCCATTGCACTCCAGCCTGAGTAACAAGAGCGAAACTCAGTCTCAAAAAAAAAAAAGAAATGGTCTGTGTTGCCAGGCTGGTCCTGAACTCCTGGCCTCAAGCAACCCTCCACCTCAGCCTCCTGAGCACCTGGGGCTACAAGCATGTACCACCATGGCCAGCTTGAATTTGTCTTTTTAAAAAAGAGTGCATTGAACATTGATGGAAACAGTTAGGATTACATACAGTGCACCTCCCAATGTGGAATTCAGGATCCATGAGAAGCGCCTGGATGTTCACAAGGCACTTCTGGAAATCAAAAGCTGGAAAGGCTGCGTCCTGCAGTGGGGTCAGTATTTCCACCATCCCTGGGCTCCTGAACATGAGGGCCGCTGCCTCCGACCAGACGTGTTGGTCTGCAATCTAAGAGGAAAGTGAGTCCTGAGATCCAGTCATTCTAATTGTTTTTTTTTGAGATACAAATTTTATTTCATGATGCAGATTTAAAGAAGGTAGAGGGAAGAAAGAAACTAAAGAGAGAGAACGAGAAAGGGCCAGGTGCGGTGGCTCACACCTGTAATCGCAACACGTTGGCAGGCCGAAGTGGGTGGATCACGAGGTCAGGAGTTCAAGACCAGCCTGGCCAACACGGAGAAACCCCGTTTCTACTGAAAATACAAAAATTAGCCGGGTATGCTGGTGGACACCTGTAATCCCAGCTACTCTGGAGTCTGAGGCAGGATAATCCCTTGAACCTGGGAGGCAGAAGTTGCAGTGAGCCAAGATTGAGCCACTGCACTCCAGCCTGGGTGACAGAGTGAGACTCCATCTCAAAAAAAGAGAGAGAGAGAGAGAGAAAGGAAGGAAGAAAGAAAAGGAAGGAGAGAGGGCTGGGGGAGGGAGGAAACACAGTCATATGAAACTTGTGACCTAACGACTCTTCAGCATCATTCGTCCTCTGGTAATTATTATTTTTTCCTTTTGTTGAGTCTCACTCTCGCCCAGGCTGGAGTGCGGCGGCACGATCTCGGCTCACTGCAACCTCTACCTCCCAGGTTCAAGCCATTCTTCTGCCTCACAAGTAGCTGGGATTACAGGCACACACCACCATGCTCAGGTAATCTGCATATTTTTAGTAAAGACGGGGTCTCACTGTGTTGCTCACGCTGGTCATGAACTCCAGGAACCAAAGTGCTGGAATTGCAGGAAGGAGCCACTGTGCCTGGCCAAAATAATACTTTTTTTTTTTTTTTTTTTTGAGACGGAGTTTTGCTCTTGTTACCCAGGCTGGAGTGCAATGGCGCGATCTCGGCTCACTGCAACCTCCGCCTCCTGGGTTCAGGCAATTCTCCTGCCTCAGCCTCCCGAGCAGCTGGGACTACAGGCACGCGCCACCGTGCCCAGCTAATTTTTTGTATTTTTAGTAGAGACGGGGTTTCACCGTGTTGACCAGGATGGTCTCGATCTCTTGATCTCGTGATCCACCCGCCTCAGCCTCCCAAAGTGCTGGGATTACAGGTGTGAGCCACCGCACCCAGCCAAAATAATTCTTTTATTTTAAATTTTTGTTAGTTTATTACTTTAAGACACACGGTTTCATATTTATGATCTAACTACTCTTCAGCTTCATTCATCCTTTGGTAATTATTATTTTTTTCTTTTTTCGAGATGAAGTCTCACTCTCACCAGGCTGGAGCACAGTGGTGCGATCAGAGCTCACTGAAACCTCAACCTCCTGGGCTCAAGTGACCCTCCTGCCTCAGCCTCCCAAGTAGGTGGGACTACAGGTGTGCACCACCACACCGAGCTGATTTTTTTTCCTTTTAGACAGAGTCTCACTCTGTCACCCAGGCTGGAGTGCAGTGGCACAATTGTGGCTCATTGCAACCTCTGTCTCCCGGGTTCAAGCAATTCTCCTGCCTCAGCCTCCGAAGTAGCTGGGATTACAGATGCCCACCACCATGCTCAGCTAATTTTTGTATTTTTAGTAGAGATGGGGTATCACCATGTTGGCCAGGCTGGTCTTAAACTCCTGACCTCAGGTGATCTGCCCTCCGTGGCCTCCCAAAGTGCTGGAATTATAGGCATGAGCCACTGCACCCAGCCAAAATGTTAAATTTTTTTCTAGATATGTGATCTCCCTATGTTACCCAGTCTGGTCTTGAACTCCTGGCCTCAAATAATCCTCCTGCCTTGGCCTCCCAGAGCTCTGGGATCACAGGTGGGAGCCACTGCACATAGCCTAATTCTTTTTTTTTTTTTTTTTTTTTGAGACGGTGTTTCACTCTGTTACCCAGGCTGGAGTGCAGTGGTGTGATCTTGGCTCACTGCAACCTCCCCCTCCTGGGTTCAAGTGATTCTCCTGCCTCAGCCTCCTGAGTAGCTGGAATTATAGGTGCCTGCCACCACGCCCAGCTAATTTTCATATTTTTAGTAGAGACGGGGTTTCACCATGTTGGCCAGGCTGGTCTTGAACTCCCGACCTCGTGATCTGCCCGCCTCAGCCTCCCAAAATGCTGGGAGCTGGTGCCTAATTCTTATTCACAGATCATGGATGGGAGCTATGGAACCTCTCCCCAGAATACATGCTGGCCCCATCAGAACGTCAGGGTTAAGTCCTAAGATATGGTTCCTGTTTGTGCTCCACCCTTAAATAATCCGTCTTAATCCACTGTCAGCAACTTCCAGGAATTTCAGTGGCTGTAGTCTAGCTGGAAAAACACTGACGTAGAAGTCATAGACCCCGGGGACTCTTTGGGCTCAGCCACTAGCAACTCGATGTGGCCTTGGGAAGAAAAGAAGCTGGAGTGATGATGCCTGTAATCCCAGCACTTTGGGAGGTTGCAGTGGGAGGGTCGCTTGAGCCCAGGAGTTCGAGAGCAGCCTGGGCAACACAGCAAGACCCCATCTCTACAAAAAGATTCAAAAAATTATCCAAGCGTGCTGGTGTCCCCCTATAGTCCCAGCTACTTGGGAGGCTGAAGTGGGAGGATTGTCTGAGACCCGAAGGTCAAGACTGCAGTGAGCCAGGATCACGCCACTGCACTCAAGCCTGGGGTTCAAAGTGAGACACTGTCTCAAAAGAGAAAAAAAAGAAAAGCTGTAGCTTTTTCTCATTTGTAAATGGGGTGGATGATATTATCTCCTTTGAGGAGTTACTGTGAGGATGGAAATACAATTAGATAGACATAGTGACTGGATGCAGTGGCTCATGCTTGTAATCCCAGCACTTTGGGAGGCTAAAGTGGGTGGATCACTTAAGGTCAGGAGTACAAGAACAGTCTGGCCAACATGGTGAAACCCTGACTCCACTAAAACTACAAAAATTAGTCCAGCATGGTAGCACCCACCTATAATCTCAGCTACTCAGGAAGCTGAGGCAGGAGAATCACTTGAACCCAGGAGGTGGAGGTTGCAGGGAGCCTAGATTATCCCACGGCACTCCAGTGAGACTCCATCTCACACACACACACAAAAGCCAGGTGCGGTGGCTCATGCCTGTAATCCCAGCACTTTGGGAGGCTGAGGTGGGTGGATCACCTGGTCAGAAGTTCAAGACCAGCCTAGCCAATAGGGAGAAACCCCATCTCTACTAAAAATACAAAATTAGCCGAGCGTGGTGGCGCACGCCTGCAACCCCAGCTGCTCGGGAGGTCCTGAGGCAGGAGAATTGCTTGAGCCTGGGAAGCGGAGGCTGCAGTGAGCCGCACCGTTGCATTCCAGCCTGGGCAACAAGAATGAAGCTCCGTCTCAATGATAATAATAATAGTTAGATAAGCATAGTGCGCAAGATAATATCAGATGACACTTGTGCCACCACTTAGTACCCCTTTGAGCCCGGACAGACGACGTAGGTCTCTCTGCCTCGGTTTTTCCACCTGTCAAATAGGAACCACACGAGGATCTTCTCCCGAGATGGTGCTCAAGGGTAAATAAGGTAACCCCTGAAGGGGCCTCGACCGGCACCTCCTGCATTTTAAAGACTCTTCCCGGCCGGGCGCGGTGGCTCAAGCCTGTAATTCCAGCACTTTGGGAGGCCGAGGCGGGTGGATCACGAGGTTAAGAGATCGAGACCATCCAGGTCAACATGGTGAAACCCCGTCTCTACTAATAAAAAAAAAATAAAAAATAAAAAATAAATAAGACTCTTCCCTCTTAGCTGTTGTTGTTGTTACTGTTATTATTTTACTAACTGGAGGGATTTCTAGCCTGCAGAAAAAGGATCAGAAGTTTGTGAAAAAGACAATTATTCTTTTTTAAAAAAATTTCTTCTTTTCCTTTTTTAGTGTAGCACTGAAGGTAGACAGTCCTTCCTTATCAACTTCATAACCCCACTTTTTCTTTTTTTTTTTTTTTGAGACAGAGTCTCACTCTGCCTCCCAGCTCAAGTGATTCTCCGGCTTAGTGTCCCAAGTAGCTGGGATTACAGGCGCCACCACTATGCCCGGCTAATTTTTGCATTTTTAATAGAGGCGGGGTTTCACCATGTTGTCCAGGCTGGTCTGGAACTCCTGACCTCAGGTGATCCACCCACCTCGGCCTCCCAAGGCGTGAGCCACCGCCCCCAGCCCATAACCCCAGTTCCTTTTACCTACTTTGATTACGGAACTTGGCAGGACACCCAGATTCCCATAATACAAATTGTCCTCCCGAGTTATAACTGCCAGTTCGTTTTCGTCTAAGAAAAACAAAACAAGACAAAACAAAAATTGAAATGCTGGTCATTTCCATGTACACGAAGATAAGCACGGCCAGGTGCAGGGGCTCACACCTGTAATCCCAGCACATTGAGAGGCTGAGGTGGGCAGATCACTTGAAGCCAGGAGTTCGAGACCTGCCTGGCCAACATGGTGAATCCCCCTCTCTACTAAAAATACAAAAATGAGCTGGGTGGGATGATGCAAACCTGTGGTTCCAGCCACTCAGAAGGCTGAGGCAGGAGAATCTCTTAACCCGGGAGGCAGAGGTTGCAGTGAGCAGAGGCCACGCCATTGTACTCCAGCCTGGGCAATAGGAAATCCATCTCAAAAAAAAAAAAACGAATGTGACTGCTATTTTCTGGTTATAATCACAAAGTTCATGTAGAAAAGCCAAGCAATATGAAAATATATAAAGTTTTTAAAAATGACTCCACATTGGATCAGCAAACCTTTTTTCTTTTGAGACAGACAAGGTCTTGCTCTGTTGACCAGGCTGGTGTGCAGTGGCACGATCACAGATGACGGCAGCCTCGACCTCCCGGACTCACTCTATGCTCCTGCCTCCAGAGGAGCTGGGGCTACAGGTGCACACCCGTGTACCCAGCTAATTTTTTAAAATTGTTTTTGTAGAGGCGAGGTCCAACTATGTTGCCCAGGCTGGTCTCGAACTGCTGGCCTCAAGTGATTCCCCCCACCTCAGCCTCCTCGGTAGCTGGGAGTACAGATGTGTTCCACCATGCCCAGCTAGTTTTTTGTATTTTTTGTAGAGATGGGATCTCGCTATGATCCCCAGGCCGGCTTGAACTTCTGAGCTCAAGCAATCCTCCTGCCTCATCCTCCCAAAGCGCTGGGATAATAGGTGTGAGCCACTGTGCCCGGCCAAAAATTTTTTTAAGGGAAATTTGCACACAGAGACAGACATGCAGAGAAGGACGTTGGTCATCTATAAGTCAAGGGATGCCTGAGCCAGGAGAGAGGCTGGGGACAGATTCTTCCCCGGAGCCGCCAGAGGGAGCCCAGCCTGAAGATACCAGAATTTACTCTTCCGGCCTCCCAACTGTGTGACATGCATTCACTGATTGATTGATTCATTCATTCATTGAATGAGGCGTCACTGCAGCCTCATCCTCCCTGGCTCAAGCAGTCCTCCCACCTCAGCCTCCAGAGTAGCTTGGGAACACAGGCGCATGCAACCATGCCTGGCTAATGTTTGTTTTTCTAAGATGGAGTCTTGCTCTGTCCCCCAGTCTGGAGTGTAGTGGCCTGATCTCAGCTCACTACAACCTCTATCTTCTGGGTTCAAGCAATTCTCCTGCCTCAGTCTCCTGAGTACCTGGAATTACAGACACCCGATACCATGCCTGGTTAATTTTTGTATTTTTAGTAGAGACGGGGTTTCACCATGTGAGCCAGGCTGGCCTTGAACTCCTGACCTCATGATCCACCTGCCTCAGCCTCCCAAAGTGCTGGGATTACAGGCGTGAGCCACCTCGCCCACCCTTGTATTACTTTAGTAGAGAAGGGGTTTCATCATGTTGGCCTGGCTGGTCTCGACCTCCTAACCTTAAGTGATCTTCTCATTCGCCCTGCCAAAGTACCGGGATTACAGACATGACCCACAGCGTCTGGCCTGAGACAACAAATCTGTCTTGTTCTAAGCCATCTAGTTGGTGGCACTTTGTGACCGCATCCCCAGCAAAGTGATACCCGAGGAATAATCCATTTCATTATTAAAGGACGAGAATGCTCATGCCCTCGATCATTCCTGAACATGTAATCATTAGGTTTGGGCCAGGAGCAGCGGCTCATGTCTGTATCCCAGCACTTTGGAAGGGTGAGATGGGAGGATCACTTGAAGCCCGGAGTTTGAGGCCAGCCTGGCCAACATGGTGAGACTCCATCTCCACAAACGCACAGAAATTAGTTGGGCGTGGTGGCATGCACCTGTAATCCCAGCTACGCAGGAGGCTGAGGTGGGAGGACTGCTTGAGCCTGGGAGGGTGAGGCTGCAGCGAGCTATGACTGTACCACGGCACTGCAGCCTGGGCAACGCGGGAAGTCCCTGTCTGTAAAAAACAAAAAACGGGGTGTGGTTTGATTTTGTGGGATGTTTTGTTTCGTTACTGTTGTGTTTTGAGATGGAGTCTCGCTCTGTGCCCAGGCTGGAGTGCAGTGGTGCGGTCTCAGCTCACTGCAACCTCCGTCTTCTGTGTTCAAGTGATTCTTTCACCTCAGCCTCCCAAGTAGCTGGGATTACAGGTGTGCACCACCACACCCGGCTCATTTTTGTATTTTTAGTAAAGATGGGGTTTCACCATGTTGGCCAGGCTGGTCTCGAACTCCTGACCTCAGGAGATCCACCCGCCTCTGCCTCCCAAAGTGCTGAGATTACAGGCATGAGCCACTGTGCCTGGTTGATTTCATGTTTTGGCTGGGCTGGGCCTGGCAGGTGTATGGTTAATAAACCAGGTCTAAATATTTCTAGGCTACCGGTGGTTCGGACACGCACTGACGGCAATGTTGTGGATGGTGACATTGGCTTCGAACATGGAAGAAAACAAGGTCTGGTCTCCTTTTTTCACCCGGACGGTGTCGACGAGCTGACCTAGGAGATAACAGGACAGGTATATGAGACCCCGTGTACGTCCTGGGAAAGGGGATGCCAACTGCTGGGACCCCAGACCCCCTGCCACCACCCAGCCCACCTGGCCAGTGGCTCTTCCGTGTTCCTTACAGCTTTTGAGAAGTTCACTATTCAAAGGAGAATGAATCAAAGCAGGCCTGGTGAACAGTTTTGTTAAATATGAGAAGGAATATGCTTTGGTTTAGGAAAACCCATGGCCGGGCACGGTGGCTTGCGCCTGTAATCCCAGCACTTTAGCAGGCTGAGGCAGGAGGATCACTGGAGGTCGGGAATTTGAGGCCGTCCTGGCCAACATAGTGAAACCCCGTCTCTACTAAAAATACAAAAATTAGCCAGGTATGGTGGCGCATGCCTGTAGTCCCAGCTACTCAAGAGGCTGAGGCTGGAGAATCGCTTGTACCCGGGAGGCGGAGGTTGCAGTGAGCCGAGACCATGCCATTGCACTCCAGCCTGGGTGACAGAGTGAGACTCCGCCTGAAAAATAAAAATAAAAAAATAAGAAAACCCGACCCTTCTGCCAGGTGTGGGGGTGCATGCCTGTAATCCCAGCACTTTGGGAGGCTGAGATGGGCAGATTACTTGAGGTCAGGAGTTTGAGATCAGCCTGGCCAACGTGGCAAAACCTTGTCTCTACTAAAAATACAAAAATGAACTGGGCATGGTTGCATGTGACTGTAATCCCAGCTACTTGGGAAACGGAGGCAGGAGAATCGCTTGAACCCGGAGGTTGCAGTGAGCCTAGATCGTGTCACTGCACTCCAGCCTGGGGGACAGAGCCAGACTCCATCTCAAAAAAAAAAAAAAAAAGAAAAGAAAAGAAAAGACAGCTGGACCCCACTAGTCTTCTCTATAAGCAGGCTCAGAGGGATGGCCGTGGAGTTTTTTGTCAACCAGGGGACTGAACACAGTGAAATGTCTTCTAATACAGGTGACCACTGTAAGGACTAAACAGGTCGGGTGTGGCAGCTCTCATCTGTAACCCCAGCACTTTGGGAGGCTGAGGCTGGAGGATCACTTGAGCCCAGCCGTTTGAGACCAGCGCAGGCAACAGGGTGAAAGCCCATCTCTACAAAAAACAAGTTAGTCTTGCATGGTGGTGGACCTGTGGTCCCAGCTACTGGGAGGCTGAAGCAGGAGGACTGCTTGAGCCTGAGAGGTGGAGGCTGCAGTGAGTCACAACTGCACCACTGCGCTTCAGCCTGGATGACAGAGTGAGACCCTGTCTTCAAAACAAACAAACAAAAAAAACCCCCATTGTGAGGATAAAACAGGCTGAGTTCTCCACTGACCTTACGTGCAAGAAAAAAAAAAAAACCAGGCCGAGTACAGTGGCTCACAGCCGTAATATCTGGACTTTGGGAGGCTAAGGCAGGAGGACAGCTTGAAGCCAGGAGTTTGGGACCAGCGTGGGCAACACTGGAGGACCCAGTCCCTCCAGATAAACACAAAAAAATTAGCCAGGCATGGTGGCACATGCTTGTAGCCAGCTACCCTGGAGGCTGAGGCGGGAGGATCGTTTGAGCCCAGGGAAGGTGGAGGCTGCAGTGAGCTATGATAGCACCACTGCACTCCAGCCTGGGCGCAGCAGTACAGTCAGGACCCAGCGCAGCCTGCACCTCCACAGAGTAACACCCTGTCTCAAAAAAGAAAGAAAGCCTGGCAGCCGGGCTCGGTGGCTCATGCCTGTAATCCCAGCACTTTGGGAGGCCGAAGTGGGCGGATCACGAGGTCAGGAGATCAACACCATTCTTGCCAACGTGGTGAAACTCTGTCTCTACTAAAAAAACAAAAAAATTTGCTGGGCGTGGTGGCGCACGCCTGTAGTCCCAGCTACTTGGGAGCTGAGGCAGGAGAATCGCTTGAACCCAGGAGGCGGAGGTTACAGTGAGCCGAGATCGTGCCACTGCACTACAGCCTGGGTGACAGTATGAGGCTCTGTCTCAAAAAAAAAAAAAACAAAAACTGCTGGGCAAGGTGGCTCACGCCTGTAATCCCAGCACTTTGGGAGGTAAAGATGGGTGGACTACAAGGTCAGAAGTTCGAGACCAGCCTCGCCAATATGGAGAAACCCCGTCTCTACTAAAAATACAAAAATTAGTTGGGCGTGGTGATGCATTCCTGAAATCCCAGCTACTCAGGAGGCTGAGGCAGGAGAATCGCTTGAACCAGGGAGGCGGAGGTTGCGGTGAGCTGAGATTGTGCTGTTGCACTCTAACCTTGGTGGCAGGGCAAGACTCCATCTCAAAAAAAAAAAAATGTAGATTTACTGTACATGAACTAAAGTATCCCAGCAATGTAACCACTGGCCTTCCCCACATTAATGAAATGTTAAATACGATGCCTCCTGAAACTCTGGAAAAGCAGCCCCAGAGGTGTCTGACTAGCGATTTTCCTGGACGCGCCCTAAAGCTGGCAGAATAAATCTCGACGGGGACTCTTGTCATCACTGTACACCTGCCCTAACTATCTCGCAAGGCAGGAAGCTGGGGGGACGCAGAGTGAGCCACTGAATGAGTATGGGCTTGTGGTTCACACTCTGAACATGGAAGAGAATAACCGAATGGTCGAAGGGTTGCTCCTTCCCCTCCCCTTATGCAGGCTGTACCCATCCCCTCTGGAGGAGACCACCGGGCGGCAGCCCCACCCTGGGCCTCCGGAGTCACCTGCATTATGGGAAAACAACAGGCTGTGCTCGAACCACAGCAGCAGGATGCCTCTATGGCCAGGGACGATGAGGATGTCGAGAGTCCCGTTATAGTCAAACGACAGCCCTAAACTCCGGTTCAGGGGGTGGTCTGAGTACTTGAACATGCCCTGGGGAGAAAAGACAGCATTCAGCCTCTCCCCAGACCTTACTGTGGAGTCCTAATGAGGGCAGAGGAGTCCGGCCAGCAGGAGCAGGGGAAAGCAAAAAAAGCAGAGAAGCCACAAGTCTGCCTTTCTTTTCTATTTTTATTTTATTTATTTATTTGTTGAGACGGAGTCTCACCCTGTCACTCAGGCTGGAGTGCAGTGGCGTGATCGCGGCTCACTGCAACCTCTGCCTCCCAGGTTGAAGTGATTCTCCTGCCTCAGCCTCCTGAGCAGGTGGGAGTATAGGCACCCACCACCCCGCCTGGCTAATATTTGTATTTTTAGTAGAGACGGGGTTTTCACCATGTTGGCCAGGATGGTCTCGATCTCCTGACCTCATGATCCACCCCCCCCCAGACTCCCGAAGTGCTGGGATTACAGGCGTGAGCCACCACGCCCGGCCTCTTATTTTTATTAAATACAACCTTACTATTTTGCTAGGGTTACATTTCAGTTTAACCATTGAAAATGTAGCTCTGAATGGCGAATTACTCTAAGTGTCAAACGTACAATGCATTTCGAAGACTTATTTTATTTTTGAGATGGAGTTTGGGTCTCATGCTAAGGCCAGAGTGCAGTGGCACGATCTCGGCTCACTGCACCCTCCACCTCCCGGGTGCAAGCGATTCTCCTGCCTCAGCCTCCCAAGTAGCTGGGATTACAGGCGCCTGCCACCACGCCTGGCTGATTTTTTTGTGTTTTTAGTAAAGATAGGATTTCACTATGTTGGCCAGACTGGTTTCAAACTCCTGACCTCAAATGATCTGCCCACCTCGGCCTCCCACAGTGCTGGATTACAGGTGTGAGCCATTGTGCCCGGCCACGTTTTGAGAATGCAGTACAGAAAAATGTAAACTATCTTATCCATGACCTGTTTATATTGATTACATACTGAAATGGGACTTTTGGGCCAGACACGGTGGCTCACGCCTGTAATCCCAGCACTGTGGGAGGCTGAGGTGGGGGGATTACTTGAGGTCAGGAGTTCAAGACCAACCTGGTCAACATGGCAAAACCCTATCACTACTAAAAATACAAAAATGACCTGGGCTTTGTGGTGGGCACCTGTAATCCCAGCTATTCAGGAGGCTGAACCATGAGAATCATTTGATCCCGGGAAATGGAGGTTACATTGAGCCCTGATTACACCATTGCACTCCAGCCTGGGTGACACAGTGAGAATCTGTCTCACAAAAATAAAAAAAGAAATGATACTATTTCTATTGAGGCCCAGCACCATGGCTAACATCTGTAATCCCAGGACTTTGGGAGGCCAAGGTGGGCGGATCGCTTGAGCTCAGGAGTTTGAGACCAGCCTGTCCAATGGGGTGAAACCCCGTTTCTACAGAAATATAAAAAAGAATTAGCCAAGCCTGGTGGTGTGCGCCTGTAACCCTAGCTACCCAGGAGGCCAAGGCAGGAGATTCACGTGAACCCAGGCAGCAGAGGTTGCAATGAGCCGAGATGGTGCCGCTGCGCTCCAGCCTGGGTGACAGAGAGAGACTCCATCTCAAAAAAAATACATAATTAAAATAATAACTATTAATTAAAAAATACATTGTTAATATGGTTTGGCTCTGTGTCTCCAGCCAAATCTCATCTTGAATTGTAATCTCCATGTGTTGGAGGAGGGGCCTGGTGGGAGGTGATTGAATTATGGAGGCGGCTTTCCCCTTTGCTGTTCTCATGATAATGAGTTGTTAGGAGATCTAAGCTTTAAAAGTGGCACTTTCAGCAAGGCGTGGTGGCTCACACCTGTAACCCCAGCACTGTGGGAGGCCGAGGCCTGGTGGCTCACACCTGTAACCCCAGCACTGTGGGAGGCCGAGGCCTGGTGGCTCACACCTGTAACCCCAGCACTGTGGGAGGCCGAGGCCTGGTGGCTCACACCTGTAACCCCAGCACTGTGGGAGGCCGAGGCCTGGTGGCTCACACCTGTAACCCCAGCACTGTGGGAGGCCGAGGCCTGGTGGCTCACACCTGTAACCCCAGCACTGTGGGAGGCCGAGGCCTGGTGGCTCACACCTGTAACCCCAGCACTGTGGGAGGCCGAGGCATGGTGGCTCACACCTGTAATCCCAGCACTTTGGGAGCCCAAGGCAGGCAGATCACAAGATCAGGAGCTCAAGACCATCCTGGCCAACATGGTGAAACCCCGTCTCTACTAAAAAGACAAAAATTAGCCAGATGTGGTGGTGGGCACCTGTAATCCCAGCTACTTGGGAGGCTGAGGCAGGAAAATCACTTCAGGGAGGCGGAAGTTGCAGTGAGCTGAGATCGTGACACTGCACTCCAGTCTGGGTGAGAGAGCGAGACTCCATCTCAAAAAAAAAAAAAATTATTTATTCTTTGAGACGGAGTCTCATTCTGTCACCCAGGCTGGAGTGCAGTGTCATGATCTCGGCTCACTGCAGCCTCCGCCTCCTGTGATTCTCCTGCTTCAGCCTCCCGAGATTCTCCTGCCTCAGCCTCCCGAGTAGCTGGGATTACAGGTGCGCACCACCACACCCAGCTAATTTTTGTATTTTTAGTAGAGATGGGGTTTCACCATGTTAGTCAGGCTGGTCTCAAACTCCTGACCGTGTGATCCACCTGCCTCAGCCCACCCAAAGTGCTAGGATTACAGGCGTGAGGCACCGTCCCCATCCATAAATAAATTTTTTTAAATGTGTGAGTTGTAACAAAACCCTGGGCTTGGGCGAAGGTCATCTGAGTAGTTGTCCCCTGTGTTAAGTTACTTACCTTCCCTTGATCGACCACAAGCATCCCAACCTGTGACAAAGAGAAAAACTGGAAGATTCCACCTAAAGACCCGGTGATTTCTGCCTACGAAACAAACAGAAAATACTTCATATACATAAATCTTAATGTGCATGTGTTTGTCAATTTCAGTTCGGGCCAGGCTCGGTGGCTCATGCCTGTAATTCCAGCACTTTGGGAGGCCAAGGTGGGCAGATCATGAGGTCAGGAGTTCGAGACCAGCCCGTCCAATATGGTGAAACCCTGTCTCTACTAAAAAATATAAAAATTAGCTGGGCATGGTGGCATGGGTAACTGGGATTACAGGCACGCACCACCATGCCCAGCTAATTTTTTGTATTTTTAGTAGATACAGGCTTTCACCGTGTTGACCAGGATGGTCTCGATCTTGTGATCCACCTGCCTCGGCCTCCCAAAGTGCTGGGATTACAGGCTTGAGCCACTGCGCCCGGCCATATATTTTTTTTCTTATACACAAATTTTTTTTAAAGATGGGGTTTCACCATGATGGCCAGGCTGGTCTCGAACTCCTGACCTCAGGTGATCCACCCACCTCGGCCTCCCAGTGTGCTGGGATTACAGGTGTGAGCCACTGCGCCCGGCCAGTACATATATTTTTATTTTCATATTCTTATCAAATTTAACATACCTGTCTGTCATCGTGATACTTCCAAAAAATGAATCCCCCAGTATTTGAATAATATATATAGGTTTGAGATATCTGATCTCCTCGAAAATATGCAAAAACCAAATTACTGATCTCCTATTAAAAAAGAAAGAAAGAATGAATGAAACAAATACTCTCCTGAACATTATTCAAGAAATGAAAACACATCCGCACAGAAACCTGGATGTCTGGACGTGACGGTTCATTTGGGGCTGTTTCCGACAGCCAAAAAGTGGATACAAGCCAGTCATGGTGGCTCATGCCTATAATCCTAGCACTTTGGGAGGATGAGGCAGATGGATCACTTGAGGCCAGGGGTTCAAGACCAGCCTGGCTAACATGGTGAAACCCCATCTCTACTAAAAATTAGCTGGATGTGGTGGCGCACACCTGTAGTCCCAGCTGCTCAGGAGGCTGATCCAGGAGAATCGCTGGAAGCTGAGAGGTGGAAGTGTCACCACTGAACAACGTGCCTGACCCTGCGTGCTTATTTATTTATTTATTTTTGAGATTGGGTCTCACGCTTGTTTCCCAGGCTGGAGTGCAATGGCCCAATCTTGGCTCACTGCAACCTCCGCCTCCCAGGTTCAAGGGATTCTCCTGCCTCAGCCTCCCGAGTAACTGGGATTACAGGCATGCACCACCACACACGGCTAATTTTGTATTTTTAGTAGAGACAGGGTTTTCCCGTAATGGCCCTAAATGACAGTCATAGACTGTTTATGTTATTAGTAAGGCTTCCAGGCAACAGTAGGCTGTTAGTAATTAAGTTTGATCGTTCGTTTGTTTTCGTTTTGAGACAAGTTGTGGCTCTATTGCTCAGGCCAAGTGCAGTAGTGTGATCTCAGCTCACTATAACCTGTGCCTCCTGGGCTCAAGCCAACCTTAGCTTCTCAAGTAGCTGGGACTATTGGTGTGCACCACCATGCCTAGCTATTTTTTTTTCTTTCTTTTTTTCTTTTTTTTTAAATTATTATTATTTTTTAAAGATGGGGTTTCACCATGATGGCCAGGCTGGTCTTGAACTCCTGACCTCAGGGGATCCACTCACCTCAGCCTCCCCATGTGCTAGGATTACAGGCATGAGCCACCGTGCCCAGTCTCTCTTTTTCTTTCTTTTTTTTGAGATGGAGTCTTACTCTGTCTCCCAGGCTGGACTGCACTGGCGCAACCTCGGCTCACTGCAAGCTCGGCCTCCCAGTTCAAGCAATTCTCCTGCCTCAGCCTCCTGAGTAGCTAGGATTACAGGTGCTTGCCATCATGCCCAGCTGATATTTGTATTGTTAGTAGAGACGGGGTTTCTCCATGTGGGTCAGGTTGGTCTTGAACACCTGACCTCATGATCTGTCCGCCTCGAACTCCCAAAGTGCTGGGATTACAGGTGTGTACCACTGCACCCGGTCCTTTTTGTATTTTGAATAGACACAGGGTCTCACCCTGTTGCCAGGGTGAGTTCAAGTGATCCACCCTCCTTAGCCTCCCAAAGTGCTGGGATTACAGGCACGAGCCACCGTACCCTGCCAGTAATTAGGTTCTTGGGAAGTCAAAAGTTACCTGTGAATTTGCAACTGTGTTGGGTGGAGGGTGGTGCCTCTAACCTCCACCTTGTTCCAAGGTCAACTATGAATGGGTGTATTTATAGTATGTCAGCCGGTGGATCTGAAACAGCCCCAAAGCCTTTTCCATCTCCCGAATGTGCTCTCAGCCCATGGGAAATAACAGTGAGCAAGTTCTTCACATTCTCTGTCTCAAGCCTTGTATTGTCCTTTCTTTGTCTTTTTTCTTTGTGTGTGTGTGTGTGTGTGTGTGTGTGTGACGGAGTTTTGGTCTTGTTGCCCCGGCTGGAGTGCAATGGCGTGATCTCAGCTCACTGCAGCCTCCACCTCCTGGGTTCAAGAGCTTCTCCTGCCTCAGCCTCCTGAGTAGCTGGAATTACTGGTGCCCACCCACCACGCCTGGCTCATTTTTTATATTTTTAGTAGAGATGGGGTTTCACAAAAGAAAAAACAATAAAAAAAGAAAAAGAGATGGGGTTTCACTGTGTTGGCCAGGACGGTCTCAAACTCCTGACCTCAGGTGATCTGCCAGCCTTGGCCTCCCAAAGGTAATCCCTCCCAAAGCTGGGATTACAGTCGTGAGCCACCGTGCCCGTCCTCAACTAATTTTTTGTACTTTTAATAGAGAGAGCGTTTTGCCATGTTGGCCAAGCAGGTCCCGAACTTCTGGCCTCTAGTGGTCCACCCACTTGGCCTCCCAAAGCGCTGGGATTACAGGCATGAGCCACCGTGCCCAGCCTCTTTTTTTTCCCGACAGTCTCCCTTGTTGCCCAGGTTAGAGTGCAGTGGCATAATCATGGCTCACCTCAATCTCAGTCTCCTAGACTCAAGCAATCCTGCCATAGCTGCGACTACAGGCACACGGCACCATGCCAGTCTGGTTATTTTGTTTTTTGCAGCGATGGGGTTTCACTATGTTGCCCAGGCTGGTCTCAAACTCCTGGGCTTCAGCAGTCCTCTTGCCTCAGCCTCCCAAAGTGCTGGGATTACAGGTGTTAGCCACCGAACCCAGCCTTTATTTCTACTCATAATTGTTTGTGTTCAGAGAAGAGTAAAAGAAATGAACAGTTGGCTGGGCACAGTGGCTCACACCTGTAATCCCAGCACTTTGGGAGGCCAAGGCGGGCAGATCACGAGGTCAGGAGATCGAGACCATCCTGGCCAACAAGTTGAAATCCTGTCTCTACTAAAAACATGAAAATTAGCTGGGTATGGTGGAGTACGCCTGTAGTCCCAGCTCCTCGGGAGGCTGAGGCATGAGAACTGCTTGAACCTGAGAGGTGGAGATTCCAGTGAGTCTGGATTGCGCCACTGCACCCTAGCCCGAGTGACAGAGTGAGACTCTGTTTCAAAAAACAAACAAGAATTATCCAGTTATACTCACCATACAAAACGGAGTTTCAGTGTAACAGCAGTTATCACCGGAGACATGTGTACAGGGTGTCTTATACCTGAAAGGAAACGGAGTTTCAGTGTAACAGCAGTTATCACCGGAGACATGTGTAACAGGGTGTCTTATACCTGAAAGGAAACGGAGTTTCAGTGTAACAGCAGTTATCACCGGAGACATGTGTAACAGGGTGTCTTATACCTGAAAGGAAACGGAGTTTCAGTGTAACAGCAGTTATCACCGGAGACATGTGTAACAGGGTGTCTTATACCTGAAAGGAAACGGAGTTTCAGTATAACAGCAGTTATCACCGGAGACATGTGTAACAGGCTGTTTTATACCTGAAAGGAAACGGAGTTTCAGTGTAACAGCAGTTATCACCGGAGACATGTGTAACAGGGTGTCTTATACCTGAAAGGAAACGGAGTTTCAGTGTAACAGCAGTTATCACCGGAGACATGTGTAACAGGGTGTCTTATACCTGAAAGGAAACGGAGTTTCAGTATAACAGCAGTTATCACCGGAGACATGTGTAACAGGCTGTTTTATACCTGAAAGGAAACGGAGTTTCAGTGTAACAGCAGTTATCACCGGAGACATGTGTAACAGGGTGTCTTATACCTGAAAGGAAACGGAGTTTCAGTGTAACAGCAGTTATCACCGGAGACATGTGTAACAGGGTGTCTTATACCTGAAAGGAAACAGAGTTTCAGTGTAACAGCAGTTATCACCGGAGACATGTGTAACAGGGTGTCTTATACCTGAAAGGAAACGGAGTTTCAGTATAACAGCAGTTATCACCGGAGACATGTGTAACAGGCTGTTTTATACCTGAAAGGAAACGGAGTTTCAGTGTAACAGCAGTTATCACCGGAGACATGTGTAACAGGGTGTCTTATACCTGAAAGGAAACGGAGTTTCAGTGTAACAGCAGTTATCACCGGAGACATGTGTAACAGGGTGTCTTATACCTGAAAGGAACGGAGTTTCAGTGTAACAGCAGTTATCACCGGAGACATGTGTAACAGGGTGTCTTATACCTGAAAGGAAACGGAGTTTCAGTATAACAGCAGTTATCACCGGAGACATGTGTAACAGGCTGTTTTATACCTGAAAGGAAACGGAGTTTCAGTGTAACAGCAGTTATCACCGGAGACATGTGTAACAGGCTGTTTTATACCTGAAAGGAAACGGAGTTTCAGTGTAACAGCAGTTATCACCGGAGACATGTGTAACAGGGTGTCTTATACCTGAAAGGAAACGGAGTTTCAGTATAACAGCAGTTATCACCGGAGACATGTGTAACAGGGTGTCTTATACCTGAAAGGAAACGGAGTTTCAGTGTAACAGCAGTTATCACCGGAGACATGTGTAACAGGCTGTGTTATACCTGAAAGGAAACGGAGTTTCAGTGTAACAGCAGTTATCACCGGAGACATGTGTAACAGGGTGTCTTATACCTGAAAGGAAACGGAGTTTCAGTGTAACAGCAGTTATCACCGGAGACATGTGTAACAGGGTTGTCTTATACCTGAAAGGAACCGGAGTTTCAGTGTAACAGCAGTTATCACCGGAGACATGTGTAACAGGGTGTCTTATACCTGAAAGGAAACGGAGTTTCAGTGTAACAGCAGTTATCACCGGAGACATGTGTAACAGGCTGTGTTATACCTGAAAGGAAACGGAGGTTTCAGTGTAACAGCAGTTATCACCGGAGACATGTGTAACAGGGTGTCTTATACCTGAAAGGAAACGGAGTTTCAGTATAACAGCAGTTATCACCGGAGACATGTGTAACAGGGTGTCTTATACCTGAAAGGAAACGGAGTTTCAGTGTAACAGCAGTTATCACCGGAGACATGTGTAACAGGCTGTGTTATACCTGAAAGGAAACGGAGTTTCAGTGTAACAGCAGTTATCACCGGAGACATGTGTAACAGGGTGTCTTATACCTGAAAGGAAACGGAGTTTCAGTATAACAGCAGTTATCACCGGAGACATGTGTAACAGGGTGTCTTATACCTGAAAGGAAACGGAGTTTCAGTGTAACAGCAGTTATCACCGGAGACATGTGTAACAGGGTGTCTTATACCTGAAAGGAAACGGAGTTTCAGTGTAACAGCAGTTATCACCGGAGACATGTGTAACAGGGTGTCTTATACCTGAAAGGAAACGGAGTTTCAGTGTAACAGCAGTTATCACCGGAGACATGTGTAACAGGGTGTCTTATACCTGAAAGGAAACGGAGTTTCAGTATAACAGCAGTTATCACCGGAGACATGTGTAACAGGCTGTGTTATACCTGAAAGGAAACGGAGTTTCAGTGTAACAGCAGTATCACCGGAGACATGTGTAACAGGGTGTCTTATACCTGAAAGGAAACGGAGTTTCAGTATAACAGCAGTTATCACCGGAGACATGTGTAACAGGGTGTCTTATACCTGAAAGGAAACGGAGTTTCAGTGTAACAGCAGTTATCACCGGAGACATGTGTAACAGGCTGTGTTATACCTGAAAGGAAACGGAGTTTCAGTGTAACAGCAGTTATCACCGGAGACATGTGTAACAGGGTGTCTTATACCTGAAAGGAAACGGAGTTTCAGTATAACAGCAGTTATCACCGGAGACATGTGTAACAGGGGTGTCTTATACCTGAAAGGAAACGGAGTTTCAGTGTAACAGCAGTTATCACCGGAGACATGTGTAACAGGCTGTGTTATACCTGAAAGGAAACGGAGTTTCAGTGTAACAGCAGTTATCACCGAGACATGTGTAACAGGGTGTCTTATACCTGAAAGGAAACGGAGTTTCAGTGTAACAGCAGTTATCACCGGAGACATGTGTAACAGGGTGTCTTATACCTGAAAGGAAACGGAGTTTCAGTGTAACAGCAGTTATCACCGGAGACATGTGTAACAGGGTGTCTTATACCTGAAAGGAAACGGAGTTTCAGTGTAACAGCAGTTATCACCGGAGACATGTGTAACAGGCTGTGTTATACCTGAAAGGAAACGGAGTTTCAGTGTAACAGCAGTTATCACCGGAGACATGTGTAACAGGGTGTCCTTATACCTGAAAGGAAACGGAGTTTCAGTGTAACAGCAGTTATCACCGGAGACATGTGTAACAGGGTGTCTTATACCTGAAAGGAAACGGAGTTTCAGTGTAACAGCAGTTATCACCGGAGACATGTGTAACAGGGTGTCTTATACCTGAAAGGAACGGAGTTTCAGTGTAACAGCAGTTATCACCGGAGACATGTGTAACAGGGTGTCTTATACCTGAAAGGAAACGGAGTTTCAGTATAACAGCAGATATCACCGGAGACATGTGTAACAGGCTGTTTTATACCTGAAAGGAAACTGAGTTTCAGTGTAACAGCAGTTATCACCAGAGACATGTGTAACAGGGTGTCTTATACCTGAAAGGAAACGGAGTTTCAGTGTAACAGCAGTTATCACCGGAGACATGTGTAACAGGGTGTCTTATACCTGAAAGGAAACGGAGTTTCAGTGTAACAGCAGTTATCACCGGAGACATGTGTAACAGGCTGTGTTATACCTGAAAGGAAACGGAGTTTCAGTGTAACAGCAGTTATCACCGGAGACATGTGTAACAGGGTGTCTTATACCTGAAAGGAAACGGAGTTTCAGTGTAACAGCAGTTATCACCGGAGACATGTGTAACAGGCTGTGTTATACCTGAAAGGAAACGGAGTTTCAGTGTAACAGCAGTTATCACCGGAGACATGTGTAACAGGGTGTCTTATACCTGAAAGGAAACGGAGTTTCAGTGTAACAGCAGTTATCACCGGAGACATGTGTAACAGGGTGTCTTATACCTGAAAGGAAACGGAGTTTCAGTGTAACAGCAGTTATCACCGGAGACATGTGTAACAGGGTGTCTTATACCTGAAAGGAAACGGAGTTTCAGTATAACAGCAGTTATCACCGGAGACATGTGTAACAGGGTGTTTTATACCTGAAAGGAAACGGAGTTTCAGTGTAACAGCAGTTATCACCGGAGACATGTGTAACAGGGTGTCTTATACCTGAAAGGAAACGGAGTTTCAGTGTAACAGCAGTTATCACCGGAGACATGTGTAACAGGGTGTTTTATACCTGAAAGGAAAATATTATTGTCTTATACCTGAAAGGAAAATATTATTTTGAAATGTTTATTCCCTGAAGTTTAGAGAAAGGTTTAATTTTTTTTTTTTTTTTTTTTGAGACAGTCTCCTTCTGTCATCCAGGCTGGAGTGCAGTGGTGCAATCTTGGCTCACTGCAACCTGGGGTCAAGTGAGTCTCCTTCCTCAGACTCCCAAGTAGCTGGGATTACAGGCACACATCATCACACACAGCTAAGTTTTGCATTTTTAGTAGAGACGGGGTTTCATCATGTTGGCCAGGCTGGTCTCGAACTCCTGACCGCAGATGATCCACCTGCCTCAGCCTCCCAAAGTGCTGGGATTACAGGCGTAAGCCACCACACCTGGCCAGTGTCTCTTGTTTGTTTCTTTGTGATTTTTTGTTTTTTGTTTTTGGAGATAGAGTTTTGCTCTTGTTGCCCAGGCTGGCATGCAACGGCACGATCTCTGCTCACTGCAGCCTCCTCCTCCTGGGTTCAAGCGATTGTCCTGCCTCAGCCTCCTGAGTAGCTGGGATTACAGGTGTGCCCCACCACACCTGGCTAATTTTGCATTTTGAGTAAAGACAGGATTTCATCATGTTAGCCAGGCCGGTCTCGAACTCCTGACCTCAGGTGATCCTCCTACCTCGGCCTCCCAAAGTGCTGGGATCACAGGTGTGAACCACCGCATCCGGTGAATGTCTCTTGTTTGTTTCAGTCAGTCCAAGCAGCTTTTGTGGCTTGTGACTACAGTCTGCACTGGGAACACTAGCTTCCCTGTCTATGGGATGGGGCTCAGGCCAGTCTTTCTTTTGACTGGAAAGGACAAAGGAACGTCCCGGGGCTGACATCTAACATTGATACCCTCATGTCGACTACACTCAAACAAAATTAAAAATACAAAAGGCACATACCGAAAGTCACATTCCAGGAATGATTTTCATAATCATAAATATAGACTTTCTGAGCCACCACTAACAGCAATAATGAACCGGCGAAGTGTGCAGATGTCACCTCTGGTGTGCCGACCTGAAAGTGACCACATGGACGATGTCAGTGAGAGAATCTTTTCAAACACTGATTCAGAAAGCCACGCTTCTAGACATGCATTGAAAGAAAAATTTATGGCTGGGCACGGTGGCTCACACTTGTAATCACAGCAGTTTGGGAGGCTGAGGTGGGGGACCACTTGAGGTCAGGAGTTCGAGACCAACCTGGCCAATGTGGTGAAACCCCAGCTCTACTAAAAATTCAAAACTCAGCTGGTGTGGTGGCAGGTGCCTGTAGTCCCAGCTACCCAAAAGGCTGAGGCAGGAGAATCACTTGAACCTCGGAGGCGGAGGTTGCAGTGGGCTGAGATCACACCACTGCACTCCAGCCTGGGTGACAGAACAAGACACTGTCTAAAAAAAAAAAAAACCAAAACCAAAACAAAACAAAAAAACCCATCTCTGAGGCCGGGCATCGTGGTTCATGCCTGCAATTCTAGCTCTCTGGGAGGCACCTGAGGTCAGAAGTTCGAGACCAGCCTGGCCAACATAGTGAAACCTCATCTCTCCTAAAACATATAAAAATTAGCCAGGCGTGGTGGCTAATTTTTGGGATAATCCTAGCTACTCGGGAGGCTGAGCGGGAGAATGGCTGAGCTGGGAGGCAGCGGTTGCAATGAGCTGAGATCGAGCCACTGCACTCCAGTTTGGGTGACAGAGTGAGACTCCATCTCAAAAAATAAACAAAACCAAACAAAATCTTCCCAGAGGACAAAGCCTAAAGTCTAAATAATGAGTGGTTAGCATTGACTGTATAAGTGTTGCTTTTAGGAGAAATACTGGTATGTCGATAAATGACAAAACTTTATTTTTATTTATTTATTTTGAGGTAGAGTCTTGCTCTGTCACCCAAGCTGGAGTGCAGTGGCACAATCATAGCTCACTGTGACCTCTGGCTCCCAGCTCAAGCAATCCTCCCACCTCAGCCTCCTGAGTAGCTGGAACAGGCATGTGCCACCGCGCCACCACACCACTGTGCCACTGCACAACTGCGCCACCGCACCACCGCACCACCACACCACCACACCACCACACCACCGCACCACCACACCACCACACCACCACACCACCGTGCCACCACACCACCGCACCACCACACCACCGCACCACCGCGCCACCGCGCCACCACGCCACCATGCCACCACGCCACCACGCCACCACGCCACCATGCCACTGCACCACCGCACCACCGCGCCACCGCGCCACCACGCCACCACGCCACCACGCCACCACACCACCACACCACCACACCACCGTGCCACTGCACCACTGCGCCACCGCACCACCACACCACCACACCACTGTGCCACTGTGCCACCGCACCACCGCGCCACCGCACCACCGCGCCACCGCACCACCACACCACCACACCACCACACCACCGCGCCACCACACCACCACACCACCGCACCACCACACCACCACGCCACCGCGCCACCGCACCACACCACCACACCACCACACCACCACACCACCGCACCACCGCACCACCGTGCCACCACACCACCGCGCCACCGCACCACCACACCACCGCACCACCGCACCACCACACCACCGCACCACCACACCACAGCACCACCGCGCCACCACACCACCGCACCACCGTGCCACCACACCTGGCTAACTTTTTAAAATTTCTTGTAGAGTTGGAGTTTTGCCATGTCGCCCAGGCTGGTCTTGAGTTCCTGGACCCAGGCATTCTGCCCACCTCAGCCTCTCAAAGTGCTGGGATTATAGGCGTGAACCACCATGTCCAGCCCAAAACTTTATTTAGTGTAGGGGTCAATGGTATAGTTTCTCAAATATTCACTAAGGGTATGGTTTTCCTGCTTTGGTTTATGACAATTTGGGGAGTCTTTTTTTTTTTTTTTTTTTTAACAGAAACAAGGGTCTCCCTACATTGCCCAGGCTGGTCTTGAACTCCTGGACTCAAATGATCCTCCTGTCTCGGCCAATCAGTGTGTGAGGATTACAGGTGTGAGCCACAGTACCTGACCGAGGGAGGTCTTGAAATTACCACATGTAAAGTAAGATACCATCCCACCTATCTATCCATAATATAACCCACGTCAGGAAGAGCACCTACGTCCACTCTTTTTCCTTTTTCAGGGATAAAAAGTCTATTTTGGGAGTAGGAGCAGAACAAAACCAGCCCTTCTTTAGGCTTAGAAATTACCCTTAATATCTTTAAGAGGTACATTGTAAAATAAACCTCTAAACTAAGAAAAACAGACTCATCTGATGGATCTGTATTTCCCCCAAATATTACTTCCACTAGCATCCTTCAGCGCATTCGTAAAATAATCACCTGCATTGAGGTAGGGATGGCAAACGGAAGGAGACTAGTCTCAAAGTTATCTGTCGTGAAGAAAACTTGTTTTCTGAAACAAACAATAAATGAGTTAAATTAGGATAATTTAATTTTCTCACACAAGGAAAGAAAAAAGACTATAGAGGTACTCTATGTTTCCGTTCAAACAAAATGTTTATTGTAACCAGGAGTCATTTAGATAAACTTTACTCATTTTGCAAAATAAACCTCTACAGTCCAGGTATTTGGCCTCTAGAAATAACAGTTTAAATGTGTGAACACATCAAATATAAAACTATATAAAATGTACATTGATTGACAGGATGCTCTTCAGTTTCATAATTTATATGGCTCTAATTCCACTAAAGGAAATAGTTTAAGAGCAGGAATGTGTATGTAAGAAAGAATTTGCTCTTTCATATAAGAAACTTTTATGGCCGGGCGCGTGGCTCACGCCTATAATCCCAGCACTTTGGGAGGCCGAGGCGGGTGGATCACGAGGTCAAGAGATCGAGACCATCCTGGTCAAAATGGTGAAACCCTGCCTCTACTAAAGACACAAAAAATTAGGTGGGCATGGTGGTGCATGCCTGTAATCCCAGCTACTTGGGAGGCTGAGGCGGGAGAATTGCCTGAACCCAGGAGGCGGAGGTTGCGGTGAGCCGAGATCGTGCCATTGCACTCCAGCCTGGGTAACAAGAGTGAAACTCCATCTCAAAAAAAAAAAAAAAAAAAAGAAAAGAAAAGAAACTTTTATATAGGAAAAGCCATCCATGATCATGAGATATCATTTTATCATTCAGGTTTCCTCCCCTGACTCCTAAGAAATTTTATGGTTTTCAATGGATAAGAATTACTGAGTTAATTCTTATTTCTTTTAATTTTTATTGCCATCATGAATATTTTTCATAGTAGCCTTTTTAAAAAAAAAAAAAAAAAAGAGAAAGATGGGTGGTCAGGCACGGTGACTCACACCTGTAATCCTAGCACTTTGGATGGCTGAGGTGGGTGGATCACCTCAGGTCAGGAGTTTGAGACCATTTTGGCCAGCATGGTAAAACCCCGTCTCTACTAAAAATACAGAAATTACAAATTAGCCAGGCATGGTGGCGCACACCTGTAATCCCAGTTACTTGGGAGGCTGAGGCAGGAGAATTGCTTGAACCCAGGAGACAACTGTGAGGTTTCAGTGAGCCGAGATTGTACCACTGCACTCCAGCCTGGGCGACAGAGCAAGACTCTGTCTCAAAAAAAAAAAAAAGATGCCTTTTGCCATGTTACCCAGGGTGGTTTTGAACACCTAGGCTCAATGGATCTTCCTGCCTCAACCTCCCAGCCATAATTGCCTTTTATAATTGGTCTTGACTGATTTATAAAAGAACTGCTGATGTGTCTGTGTTTTTTTGCAGAGAGAGTCTTTGTCATCCAGACTGGGGTACAATAGTGTGCTCATGGCTTACTGCACCCTCAAACTCCTGTACTGAAGTAAACCTCACATCTCAGCCTCCCAGGTAGCTGTGCACACCGCCACCCCCATCTAATTTTCTGTATTTTTTGTAGAGCCTGGGATCTTGCTATATTCCCAGGCTGGTCTTGAACTCCTAGCTTCCAGTGATCCTCCTGCCTTGGCCTCCCAAAATGGTGGTACTATAGGCATGAGTCACTGCACCTGGCCTCCGGTCCCCTTTTTGATGCTGCCAGAATCATGCAGCGCCCCCATCCTCCACTACCTTCAAGGTGAGGGCAAACATCTTGGCATGGTGTCTGTACCTGGTTTTCTAACCTGCTACCCTTAGGAACTCGAGTGAATGCTGGCCATGGTGTTTTCATTCTTGAGTGCTCTGCTCTAAGCCCATACACATTTGGTTGCTCCCACCATCCCAGTGAACTCCTACTCATCCATCAAAAGCCAGTTGTGGCATCAACTCCCCACTGGAAACTTCCTAGGCATTTTCTCCTGAGGCACCCAACAGCGCTTATACAAGCATCCTTTATGTTTTTTGTCTTTTTTCTAGTCCCCGGCAACTCAAGTATTTCTACACACCAAGCATCATTACAGGTGGTGCCACACTACTGCGGTTGTTTTAGCTGCTGGCTCATCTCTTCAGCTCCCTTCCTCCAATTCTAACGACTGTGGACTCCTACAGGCCAGCAACTAGCAACACAGGGCAGAGCCAAGTTCTTTAATGTTTGTTGAATGAATGAATGAGGGCAAACCTAAAGATTAAATTTACCAGTATTTTTAGTAGAGAAGGGGTTTCAGCGTGTTGGCCAGGTTGGTCTCTAACTCCTGACCTTGTGATCCACCCACCTCGACGTCCCAAAGTGCTGGGATTACGGGCGCGAGCCACTGTGCCTGGCCCCAAAGATGTAATTTAAAACGAAGGTAACAGTACAGAATATGGCCGCTTACCCTAGATATAGCGCTATATTTTTCTCGCAAGGATGTGTAATCAAGCGTGGTGTTGTAGATGAAAAAGACAGGCGGTCCTAGAGAGATAATCACAAAATCTTACTATCAATGACCATAAACAGCTGATAGAAACACTTTTTAACAGGGACCATAAAAAGATAAATAAAAATTAAAAAAAATAACAGGGACCATTATCAACATAAAGGGCAAAATCTGAATTAGGTGGGTGGATTGTATCAATGTCACTTTCCTGTTCTGATATTGTACTGTCACATCTGATATGTCAGATGTGACTGCTTGGGGGAGCTGGCGGAGGGTTTGGGACCTCCCTGAACTGGCTTTGCAACTTGCTGCAAATCTATAATTATATCCAAATAAACAGTTTTTAAAATTCACAGCATAGGCCAGGTGTAGTGGCTCATGTCTGTAATCCCAACACTTTGGGAGGCTGAGGCAGGAGGATTTCTTGAGGCCAGCAGTTCAAGACCAGCCTGAACAGCACAGCAAGACCACATTTCTACAAAAAATATAAAGATTAGCTGGGCATGGGAGTGCATGCCTGTAGTCCCAACTACTGAGGAGCCTGAGGTGGGGGGATGGCTTGAGCCCAGGAGTTTTAGGATGCAGTGAGCTAGGATCTTACCACTGCACTGCAGCCTAAGCAACAAAGAGAGACCCTGTCTGTAACAGAAATAATAATTTAAAAATTAGGCCGGGCACAATGGCTCATGCCTGTAATCCTAACACTTTGGGAGACCGAGGTGAGTATATCAGGAGGTCAGAAGTTCAAGACCAGCCTGGGCAACATGGTGAAACCCCCGTCTCTACTAAAAATACAAAAATTAGCCGGGCACGGTGGCAGGCGCCTGTAATCCCAGCACTTTGGGACGTCGAAAGCTAGTCAGGAGACTGAGGCAGGAGAATTGCTTGAACCCAGGTGACAGAGTTTGCAGGAGTAAGCTGAGATGGCACCACTACATTCCAGCCTGGGAGACAGAGCAAGTCTCTGTCTCAAAAAATAAAATCTATTTAAGGGAAGAGTAAAGAGAACGCTTGATAAAAACTCAGACCATCTTACTTGTCTTCCCACCTCTACCTCTTGGCTTTGTTCCGGTTTTTTTTTTTTTTTTTTTGAGACAGAGTTTCCCTCTTGTTACCCAGGCTGGAGTGCAATGGCGCGATCTCGGCTCACCGCAACCTCCGCCTCCCGGGTTCAGGCAATTCTCCTGCCTCAGCCTCCTGAGTAGCTGGGACTACAGGCACGCGCCACCATGCCCAGCTACTTTTTTGTATTTTTAGTAGAGATGGGGTTTCACCTTGTTGACCAGGATGGTCTCGATCTCTTGACCTCGTGACCCACCCGCCTCGGCCTCCCAAAGTGCTGGGATTATAGGCGTGAGCCACCGCGCCCGGCCCCAGGTTTTTTTTTTTTTAGATGGAGCTTCACTCTTGTTGCCCAGGCTAGAGTGCAATGGCGTGATCTTGGCTCACCTCAACCTCCACCTCCTGGGTTCAAGCAATTCTCCTCCCGCAGCTCCCCGAGTAGTTGGAATTACAGGCGCCCACCACCACACCCGGCTAATTTTGTATTTTTAGTAGAGACGAGGTTTCACCATGTTGGTCAGGCTGGTCTTGAACTCCCGATCTCAGGTGATCTGGCTACCTCAGCTTCCCAAAGTGCTGGGATTACAGGCATGACCCACCACTCCCGGCCTGTTCAGATTGCTTGATCTCGCTAAACTTGTTTCTCAGTGAAATGGGAAGCACGAATCCCTGCCTCAAAGGGCAGTGAGTTGTAAGGACTGGATAAAGTAATGATCACTAAGTGCGTGGTGAGACCAGCACCCAAGAAACAGGAAGAAGTGTTACTTCTGACCCTGTAATCAAAGTGAAGGATGAATTTAAGGGTGGAGCGACATACCCCTTGAACATCCTGCATGACATGAAATACTTTTCCTGTCCTCACTCTGCGAGCGCTGGAAGTGACAAGAAAGACCATCTGTCAATTTTTAATGAATATTCAGCACGACAACTCCTACTCAGCCACCTCGGGGTTAACCCTAAAGTATTCAGGGGTTTTTGTTTTGTATTGTTTTTTCTTTTTTTTTTTTTTTGAGATGGAGTCTTACTCTGTCGCCAGGCTGGAGTGCAGTGGCGCAATCTCAGGAGGAGGCCCTCACTGCAACCTCCGCCTGGGTTCAAACTATTCTTTCGCCTCAGCCTCCCGAGTAGCTGGGACCACAGGCACACGCCACCACGCCCGGCTAATTTTTGTATTTTTACTAGAGACGGGGTTTCACCATGGCCAGGATGGTCTCGATCTCTTGACCTCATGATCTGCCCGCCTTGGCCTCCCAAAGTGCTGGGATTACAGGTGTGAGCCACCATGCCCAGCCTTGTTTTGTTTTTGAGACAGAGTCTTACTCTGTCACCCAGGCTGGAGTGCAGTGGTATAATCTGGGCTCACTCTAACCTCTGCCTCCCAGGTTCAGGCAGTCCTGCTCAGCCTCCCAAATAGCTGGGATTACAGGTGTGTGCCACCACACCCAGCTAATTTTTGTATAGTAGAGAAGGGGTTTATCCATGTTGGCCAGGCTGGTCTCAAACTCCTGACCTCGTGATCCACCTGCCTCAGCCTCCCAAAGCACTGGGATTACAGGCATGAGCCACCATGCCAGACCAAGTAGCTGTTCTTGATGTTTTCAGGGTTATAGGAGGCCCTAGTAAATTGGATGAGGCCAGTGAGGTAGCCTTACTCCCAGCACTTTGGAGGCTGAGGCAAGTGGATCACTTGAGGTCAGGAGTTCAAGACCTGCCTGGCCAATTTGGTGAAATCCCATCTCTCCTAAAAACATAAAAATTAGGGCCGGGTGCAGTGGCTCACACCTGTAATCCCAGCACTTTTACAGTGCTGGGAGGTCAAGGCGGTGGATCACCTGAGGTCAGTAGTTCAAGATCAGCTTGGCCAACATGGTGAAACCCCGTCTCTACTAAAAATACAAAAAAAACTTGTATGTGGTGGCAGGCGCCTGTTGTGGCAGCTACTCAGGAGGCGGAGGCACTAAAATCGCTTGAACCAGGGAGGCAGAGGTTGTAGTGAGCCAAGATCACGCCACTGCACTCCAGCCTGGATGACAGAGCCAGACTCGTCTCAAAATAATAAAAGGAAAAAAGAAATTTGGATGAAGCTCCTCTCCCAGAAGCAGATATATGTACACATAAAAGGTAGAAATAATTCCTGAGAATTTTTTTTTTTTGAGAGAGTCTTGCTCTGCGGCGCAGGTTGCAGTGCAGTGGTGTGATCTCAGCTCACTGCAACCTCCAACCTCTGGGTTCAAGCGATTCTCCTGCCTCAGCCTCCCACGTAGATGCAACTACAGGCATGTGCCACCACACCCAGCTAATTTTTTTTTTTTTTTTTTTTTTTTTTTTTGATATGGAGTTTCGCTGTTGTTACCCAGACTGGAGTGCAATGGCACGATCTCAGCTCACTGCAACCTCCGCCTTCTGGGTTCAAGCAATTCTCCTGCCTCAGCCCCTGAGTAACTGGGACTACAGGCGCACACCACCATGCCCAGCTAATTTTTGTATTTTTAGTAGAGATGGGGTTTCACCTTGTTGACCAGGATGGTCTTGATCTCTTAACCTCGTTATCCACCTGCCTCAGCCTCCCACAGTGCTGGGATTATAGGCGTGAGCCACTGTGCCCGGCCGCTAATTTTTTTTTTTTTTTTTTGTATTTTTAGTAGAGTCGGGGTTTTATCGTGTTAGCCAGGATGGTCTTAATCTCCTGACCTTGTGATTCCCCCTGACTTGGCTTCTGAAAGTGCTGGGGGCGTGAGCCACTGTGCCCAGCCAATTCCTGAGAATTTCTAAAGGCTCATTCACAGACCCCAGTTGAGGAAGATTATGAATTCCTGCAACAAGGTATTTGAGGGGTGGTGCCTGGAAGGATGGTACAGTTTACAGCACAGGTGCTCAATTTTGAATATGCATCTGAATCACCGGGGTTGTGAGGTAGAGGGGGTTCTTGATAAACCATTGTTTGATGGGTGCCGCTGAATCAGGCCAAGTCCCTGACTCAGTAGGTCCAGAAACTGGTTGCATTTCTAACCAACTGTAATAAATTCCCATGTGATCTTGATGCTGTTGGTCCAGGGAGCACTCTGAGAACCCATGTGGGGAAATGAATTGGATATAACCTATCTTTTCAGACCTTGAGACAAATCGTATTAGTAAATTTCAGGGGAAAATCCCTCTCCCCACTTACTAGCTATATGTTGTTAGGCAAGTGTCTTTATCCTAAGGATGCTTTCATATCTATAAAACAGGGGTGTGGGCTGCCACGGTGGCTCACGCCTCTGATCCCAGCACTTTGGGAGACTGAGGCAGGTGAATCACGAGGTCAGCAGTTCTAGACCAGCCTGGCCAACATCGTGAAACCCCGTCTCTACTAAAAATACAAAAAATTAGCTGGGTGTGGTGGCAGGCGCCTGTAAGCTACTCAGGAGGCAGAATTGCTTGAACCCAGAGATGGATGTTGCAGTGAGCTGGGATTGTGCCGCTGCACTCCAGCCCAGGAGACTCTGTCTCAAAAAAAATAAAAAGCAAAATAAGGGTATGGCTGGACGTGGGCGGCTCACACCTGTCACCCTAGCACTTTAGGAGGCTGAGGCAGGAGGATCACTGGAGCCTCGGAGTCCAAAACCAGCCTGGGCAACATAGTGAGACTGCATCTTTTTTTTTTGAGACAGAGTCTCCCTCTGTCACCTAGGCTGGAGTACAGTGGCATGATTTCAGCTCACTGCAACCTCCACCTCGTGGGTTCAAGCGATTTTTCTTCCTCAGCCTCTTAAGTAGCTGGGATTACAGGCACCTGCCACCAAGATCGGCTAATTTGTATTTTTAGTAGACAAGGTTGACAGGGTTTCATCATGTGGGCCAGGCTGGTCTGAAACTCCTGACCTCAAGTGATTATCCCACCTCAGCCTCCCAAATTGTTGGGATTACAGGCGTGAGCCACTGCGCCCAGCCAGTGAGACCCCGTCTGTACAAAAAATACTAATAAATAAAGTTAAGGAATCATTACTCTAGGAATCTTCCTGTAAATATCAAATGAAGTCATACACTCCAAGACAGTTCAGAGGTTCCTACTGAATGTGACAGTTTAGTCCTAATGGGGAGTTCCCCGAGGGCAAGAATGGCGTTTCAGCAACGGTCCCCCCATGGCAGGTTGCAGTATCCCTAACCTAACATTTACCGAAATTTAAAAATGTGCTGGGTAAGGCCAGGCGTGGTGGCTGACGCCTGCAATCCCAGCACTTTGGGAGGCCGAGGTGGGCGGATCACGAGGTGAGGTGTTCGAGACCAGCCTGGCCAACACGGCGAAACTCCGTCTCTACTAAAAGTACAAAAACGAGCTGGGCGTGGCGGCGGGTGCCTGTGATCCAAGCTACTCAGGAGGCCGAGGCAGGAAAATCGCTTGAACCCGGGAGGCAGAGGTGGCAATGAGCCGAGATAGCGACACTGCACTCCAGCCTGTGCCACGGAGCAAAAACTCCGTCTCCAAAAAAAAAAAAAAAAGAAGTGGGAGGGTTTAGTGTCGGGCTGGGAGGATGTGATGGAGTGGGGAGACTGAGGCGTCAAGTCCGATTCCTAACAAGAGCTCCAAGATGAACCAGCACCCTCCCGACCCCCGGCAGCAACCCATCCCCAGGAGGGCAGCCCCACCGGCAGAGCGGCTGAGCGGTGACCAGCGGGCAGAGCCACAGGGTCACAGCCGCCACCAGCAACAACATCAGCATCGAGCCTGGGTCTCCGCCGCCACCACTGTCTTTCAACCGCCACAGGGAGTCGCTGCAGAATCCGAAAACGAGCAAGCTGGAGACTGCGCATGCGCTCCAATGAGCCCGAGTGGGCTTGCGCGCACTGCTGCCCCACGCGCTGCCTGAACCCTGAGCATGCGCAGACGAATCCCGGGAAGCCCGAATCCACACACCCCCAACGCGCGCTCAGAGCCTGGGCATGCGCACAGAGCCACCCGTGGCCACTGTAGTCTGAGCAAGCATACCGTCTCCAGGGAATCCCAAATCCTTCAACCACTAGAAGCCCCAGAGCCCGAGCATGGGCATGTCGTCCGCGCATATAAGCATGTGCACTGGCTGTTCACGAGTTCCTAAACGCTGCGTTTGCAGCATCAACAATTTTCTATATGGGTGCTGGCGCGTGCCCACAACCTTCCACGTGACCGTAAAGGGCCTTGGGAGCCTAAGATGGAAAACCGGAAGAGGCAGAGGAGATGCTGACGGTCGAACTCCGCTCCCTTCCTCCGCGTAGGTCCCGCCCCCTGAAGTGGCTACTTCGGGCCACGCCCCCATCAAGTACCGAGGCATGCGCCGGGCGTCACGTGCGTTACTTGGCGAGCGGAAATGACGTGAGTTGTGGGCGCCGCCAGTATGGCCGTGTTATGGCGGCGGGCACAGGCTACGTGCGATTGTGGGGCGCTGCGCGGTGCTGGGCGCTGCGGCGGCCGATATTGGCCGCCGCCGGGGGGCGGGTCCCCACGGCAGCTGGAGCGTGGTTGCTCCGAGGCAGGCGGGCTTGCGACGCCTCTCCTCCTTGGACCCTGTGGGGCCGAGGCCCGGCAATTGGGGGCCAGTGGCGGGGACTTTGGGAAGCGAACAGCCGCGGCGGAGGCGCTTTCTCTGGGGGAGACGACGCCTCGGAGGGCGGCGCGGAGGAAGCAGCCGGGGGCACCGGGGGCAGCGCGGGCGGCGGGGAAGGCCCGGTCATTACGGCGCTGACGCCCATGACGATTCCCGATGTGTTCCCGCACCTGCCGCTCATCGCCATCACCCGCAACCCGGTGTTCCCGCGCTTTATCAAGATTATTGAGGTAATGGGAGTCCCCGCCTGGGTCTCAGCTTTCACACCTCTGCAAGCAGCGGGCTGAAGCGTGGGATCACTTTCGCGCCCTCGTGTTTCGCAGCTTTTTCAGACATGAGTTTCTCAGAGGCTGCAGTTAGAATCCTGTCTGCTCACCACTAGCTTGGGGACCTTGAGCTAAAGTCCTCTTCCTTTCGGATCTCTTAGGATCCGTTAGATGACAGGAGTTGAACCCAGTGAGCCTAGGATTGTCCGCTTAGAGTCCCGGTCATAGAAATCCGGGATCCGGAGAGACCAGAGTGGTGTTACAGCGCCGTTAGTTTTCTGCTTACTTGGCACACAAGTTTTGTAACGCTTCCTCTCCCCAGGCGCTGTGCCGTCCGGTTACGAGCCCCAATGGGATCAGAATTCATTCTTAAATACTTCTTGACTGCTTATTTGCCAGAGACTGTTCTAGGTGCTGGGGATATGGTAGTGAACAAGGAAGACAAAAATTTCTGCCTTTGAAGCTGGGCTTGGTGGCGCGCGCTGTAGTCCCAGCTACTCCGGCGGCCGAGGCGGGAGGATTGCTTGAACCCTGGAGTCTAGTTTGTCAACATGGCGAGACCCTGTCTCTTAAAAAGTAATCTGCCTTGGAGCTTACATTCTGGCAGGATGAGATAGGCAATAAAGATGATTAGCAACTATGTAGTATTAGAAGGCAGTAATTATTACGGGAGATAATAGAGCATGGATGGAACTGGAGGCTTAGGAGGGTGGGAAGAGGACGTTATTCGTTCAGAGTGTTCTTGACCTTCCACCACGTAACACGTGCTGAGAATACTGTAGTGAACAAGTCATACAGTCCCCGGCCTAAGAAACTTACCTTTCCGTGGTAGAAATTGCATCATTTCAGAGTAAGAGCCTTGGGGGTGGGGAGGGAGCGGGATGATGTAATAGAAAGCAGTGAGTGTAAGGAACTTGAGCTTTTAGAGGAGGGAGGCCCCAAATACCTTCTCCCCCAGTTCCCCTTCCCTCAAAAAAAAAAAAAAAAAAAAAAAAATACCGATGTGGAAACTGGGATCTATGGGAAGGTTATCTGTTAACTATCAGAGCAAGGTCATACAGTGAGTCAGCCTCTGCTAAACAAATCTCAGGGATCTGTTGGGGAAGGGAAAAGCCGTTTCAGGGGGAAAACAGCCAGAGGGACAGAGGGAGCTCTCCCACACTGCTAGTTTGTCTGTCTGAGCGACCCTTCCAAGGCCTTTCCTGTTTCCTTTTTTTTTTTGATACAGAGTTGCACTCAGTCACTAGACTGGAGAGCAGCACCGCTATCTCAGCTCCGTGCAACCTCCACCTCCCAGGTTCAAGTGATTCCTCTGTCTCAGCCCCCCGAATAGCTGGTATTACAGGCACCCACCTCCATGCCCGGCTAATTTTTCTATTTTTAGAAGAGACAGGGTTTCATCATGTTGCCCAGGCTGGTCCCGAACTCCTGACCACAAGTAATCAACCCGCCTCAGCCTCCCAAAGTGCTAAAATTGCAGGTATGAGCCATCTTGCCTGGCCCCAAGGACTTTCCTTGTGAAGTAGTGGCAGGCCCCAGAGCAAGATTCTGTGGGGTCCTCTCCGTAACCTTCAGCAAGTTACTCCTTTGGCTTCCATCTTCTCATCGATAACATGGATGTATTAGCGCCTTATTAGTTGTTGTGGGAGTTAAATGAGGCCACGTGGGCTGGCCACTGTGTCTCACAGGTGTAAATCCCAGCACTTTGGGAAGCTGAGGTGGGAGGATAATTTGAGACCAGCCTGGTCCACGGAATGAGATCCTGTTTCCACCAGAAATAAAAGGCTGGGCACAGTGGAGTGAACCTGTCATCCCAGCTCCTCGGAAGGCTGAGGCAGGAGGATTACTTGAAACTGGGGGATCAAGGCTGCAGTGAGCCACGGTGTCACCACTGCACTCCAGCCTGGGCAGCAAAGTGAGGCCCAGCCTCAGTAATAACGTGATGCTGCTTCCTCTTTGGTGCACTTCTGACATTTCAGGACCCTGTCCCGGATGCCTTTTTCCTATCCTTGACTTCACCCCTAGCAGTTCTCTTTACCCTCTCAGGTTTCTGGGCCCAGGATGGTGTCATCAGGCCTAGTCCCCTCAGCTCTGTCTCTGGCTCCCAGCACCTGAGCGGAGATGATTCTGGGAGTTGAGTCTGCCCACGTGGAGCTAGCCCAGGGCATTAAATGAGTGGCTGCAGATGGTATTTGGGAGACTGGCAGGTGGTTCTCATTGTATTTCTGGTTAATGATGCGTTGTAAGTCACAAAAATGGATCGTGCCAGCGCCAGGAGGCAGGTGCCAAGGATGCAGCTGTCAGCTGTTGGCAGACAAGGAATTGGGGGGCATCTTCTTTGGGACCCAATAAATGTTTCTGGAATTGTTAGCAAAGCTTGATTTACTCTGTAGTTTGTGCTTGACTGTGGCCAACTTGCTCCAGAAGCTTCTCTCCTCGGCGACCTCTGAGTATAGAACAGTGGCTCTTAATTTGTGGTGGGTCACATTCCCTCCTGTCAGGTGTTAGCGACTTTCTTCCCGGAAAAAAAAAAAGCATCTATAGTGTCAGGAATTTCTGGACCACAGGTAAAGAGCCCCTATTAGGGAATGAATCAAAACACTGGCTTTCAAAGTGGGGGGTTGACCAGCAGCAATAGCGTCCTGTGATGCTGTTTTGTTTGAAATGCAGATTTTTGGGCGCACCCTAGAAGGGAATCAGAAACTCCAAGAGTGGGGCCCAGCAGGGAGCTGCTGCTTTTTTTTTTTTTTTTTCCCTCCCCCCTCATCAAGTTGCATTCTTGTTGCTCAGGCTGGAGTGCAAAGATGTGATCTCGGCTCACCGCAACCTCCGCCTCCCAGGTTCAGGCAATTCTCCTGCCTCAGCCTCTTGAGTAGCTGGGAATACAGGCATGGGCCACCACGCCCAGCTACTTTTTGTATTTTTAGTAGGGAAGGGTTTTCCCCATGTTGGTCAGGCTGGTCTTGAACTCCCAACCTCACACCTCGGCGTGATCCCCCCACCTCAGCCTCCCAATGTGCTGGGATTACAGGTGTGAGCCACCATGCCCAGCCAGCAGTGAGCTTTTAAGAATTCTTTGTGTCATCCTGGTGCCTACAAAAGTTTGAGGGTCATTACCTTTGTATGTGTGTGTAGATGTATTCATTATATGATAAAGATGGAAATTTTCAAAAAGAAAATAGAGATGGGGTCTTGCCATGTTACCCAGGCTGGTCTCAGACTCCTGAGCTCAAGCGATCGTCCTGCCTCAGCCTCCCAAAGCGCTAGGATTGCAACTGTGAGCCACCGTACCTGGCAAGCCATGACCTTTAATCAGGGTCTGTCCTGGGAATGAACAACGGCTTGAAAGAAATAAGGTGAGCTCCTTGCTCCTTCAAATGCTTTTAGAAGACATCAGTAGCCCTGAGCCTGCCATTGTCTTGCCATCAAGAATGTGCTGGAGATCTGGGGGGGTCTTGATCATAAATGAACAGCACCGGATGTGATGGAGGAGTTTTCCGTGAAACTTGGAGGGCCCGGGAGCAGTGGCTGACGCTTGTAATCCCAGCACTTTGGGAGGCCAAGGTGGGCAGGAGTTCAAGACCACCAGCCTGGCGGCCAACATGGCAAAACTCTGTCTCTACTGATAATACAAAAGTTAGCAGATGTGGTGGCATGTGCTTGTAATCCCAGCTACAAGTGAGGCTGAGGCAGGAGAATCTCTTGAACCCGGGAAGTGGAGGTTGCAGTTAGCCGAGATTGTACCACTGCACTCCAACCCGGGTGGCAGAGTGAAACTGTTTCTAAAAAAAAGTTGGGGCTGTGTGCGGTGGCTCACGCCTGTAATCCCAGCACTTTGGTAGGCTGAGGCGGGTGGATCATGAGGTCAAGAGATCCAGACCATCCAGA